CTATTAGACTTGGCTTGGGATGCTCCTGGGCAGCTGGAGCTGAGGTGTTGTCATATACAAGATCAATGTGATATTTTGGAATCATTTCCACAGAGGGTAACTTGGTAATATTGATCAAAGTTTTCTGTGTATTTAGTTCTACTTCCAGAAATTCACCCCATAGGTAAACTTGCCCATGGGGGAAATGGTGTGTATTCAAGGAGCACAGGTTCTTGATTGGAAAATATTGGGAAGCAATTTATACTTCTCTGGACAGAGTACTGGCTACAGGAATTAAAGCATTAACCGTGAATTATTCCAAAGATAATGAGGCAGAATTATGCTAACAATATAAATAATGTAAACTGATCTTGGCTACATTTAAGAACAATTTTTAAAAGATTTATTTACTTTTATTTGAAAGCAGATTTACAGAGAGGAGAGAAAGAGAAGTCATCCAGCCATTGATTCACTCCCCAAAAAGCTGAAATGGTCTGAGCTGAGCAGATCCAAAGCCAGGAGCCAGGAACTTCTTTCTGGTCTCCTATGTGGGTGCCGGGGGGCCAAGGACTTGAACCATCCTCCGCTGACTTCCCAGGTCATAAGGCAGGAGCTGGATCAGAAGTGAAACAGCCTGGACTCAAACCAGCACCCATATGGGATGCTGGTACCCTAGGTGGAGGATTAGCTTACTGCACCACCACACCGGCACTTCATATGCTGGTCATTCTAAAAGATCATGGGAAATGTAATGGAAAGATACGTTTGTTTTGGTGCAAAAAAAAATTAAAACCCACACATAGTTTTGCATAATATTTTTCACGAACATTTTAAAGACTCCTCATAATTATGGATTTTATTTTATTGCAAGGGAATAAATGTATCTTTTATTTCTACTTCACACAACATTTTTGAAGGACCCTCTCATTTTAAGTGAAAAGGTAGAGGATATTGTGTATCGTGTGCTTCTAGTTGGAGCCCCTGGGTGTCTCTAGCTGTGTCTGACTCTTGTTTGATGATCTTGAATGTCCCTGGGCTGTCTTCCAAAGACTTACTAAAAAACATAAAAGTAGTCCTTACCTGTGGGTGGTGAAGAAGCAGGGATGAGGGGGCGGATTCATTCTCACCGCACACCCGCATGTACCTTTTAGAGTTGGAATTGTGTACACTTGGCGCCCCTCAGCCATCTCCAACGCAGTTGACCTGGCACAGCATCGCTCCAAAGCTAGCACACAGAAGAGGAAGTGGGCACTGTGAGTGGTACTTGGGCGCTGGAAGTTGGGGCCATTCCTGGGGACAAGGACTTGCCCTCCACTGCCAGGCAACCTAAGCTCCATGGGCAGCTCAATTTGCAGGACCACAACGACTCCCAGACTGTTCCCCAGCTGCAGCTACTGCCCCTCTGCCTAGGAAAAGGAGCTACAGGATACACAGGCCTGAGGACACCAGCCACTGGTTTCCCCAGCAACAGTTGCTCCTGGTGTTTGAGTATCTATTTGAAGATCCTAAGGCAGGCTCATTCTGTATGGAGATGACTCGGCTGCACGCTTACCTCTCCTCATTCCTGCCTTCCATTCATGAGGAGACGGTTGTAGCCTGGGCTAAGTGATACGGTGCTAAAAATCACCTTGTCTGTACCATCATGGTGGCACAGCAACATTAAGCCACCACCTATGATTCAGGAAATCCAGCTGTTCCATTTCCAATCCAACCCCTCACCCCCCACTAAAATGCATAGAAAAGCAGCAGAAGAGGGCTTCGGTGCTTGGGTCTTTGCACCCACGTGGGAGACCCATCTTCGGTCTCCTGGCTTCAACAGGAGCTGTTTCAGCCATTGGGAAGACTTGCCATTCTGAGGCTTCCTTTCCAGGGCCACATACACCTGATGCCGTGACACTGGTCAGATTTCCAACAGCAGCACAGAGATGGGTGGTCCTCAAACCCTGCCTTAAACCTCATCTCTTCTGAACAGTCACAATCAGCCCCAGGGAGCACCCTTGTCCTATAAAACGAAAACCTCTAACTTGGCACCTGGCATCACTTTTCCTCAGTGTGGCCCTCCCATGTGTGTCCTGGTCCTTTGCCTTTGCATATACCTTCTTCTCTGCTCACTCTTGTGTGTCTCTTCAGAATGCCTTCTTATCTGGAGACAAAGCCTGGACTGAGCCCAGCCGGGAAGCAGTGTGATCCCCTCCACTGTGGACTGGCTGTTGGTTTCCTCACCTCTCTATCTCAGTGCCCTGTGGGGATGCAGCCAGAAGGAACGCTTCAGAGCAGGATTCCCAGCCTTGCCAGCAGCTGAGCTGTGGCCTTCTCAGTCTTTCTCTGTAAGAAATCAATGTGTTATCGCTTCTCGGCCTTTTGGCTAAGATCAAGTGTAGTATCTGTTCTTATTAGAAATCAGTGTGTTGAAGCCACCCTGTTTGTGGCCTGAACTAAGACATGGTCACAGTCACTGTCCCATCCACAGCTCCCCACCGTAGTGATTCACACCGCCACCCTTTGTTTCTCCTGTGCCCAAGGCTGGTCAGGAAGAAAAGGGGGCAGTAATATCCCCTGGAGAAGCCCTCAACCAGGCATGGGAGGGTTGGTGGGCAAAATGCTCCAGCTCTCCTCCCTGCCTCACGTAGTCCAGTGTTCAGGGCGCATGATCTGGGAGGAGTGTCATGGAGACCCCAAGGGACCGAGTCCATGCCAGAGCCTGCTCACCGCTCCCACTTCATCATCTTCTCCCCATCCCATTTCCTCCCTCTCTGAGAAATCCCTGACATCCAGGAAGGAGGTTCTGATATCCCGGGAACTTCATCGTGAGGAAAAGGAACAGCGCTGTTCAGAGTGATGACAGCTCCTTGCCTCCTTTCAGTCACATCGTTCCTGATAATGGCTGGTGACACTGTCTGTGTGGGGGCCTATAAAATGTTCCAGGGCAAATAATGGCCTTTCTAAACCTGTTCTGGGGGGGAAAAAACCCTCCAGATCCAAAATAGAATCTTTCATGCCAGTACATTTCTAATCACAGCAATCAGCCTATTGACCGCCACTAAATGGAGATCATTGTAACATGTTTATATCCCATGAATAACAAATTAGGAGACTCTGGCATGAGCCTCCCACCCACCCACATCCTACCAAGTCTTATTTTTCTTTTTAGAATTATTCATCTCCATTTGTTGAAAGGCAGAAAGAGACACGAAGAGATCTCCCATAGCCCAGTTCACTTTGCAGCCAGGCTGGGCCAACCCAAAGACAGGTGCTGGGGACTCAGTCTGGGTCTCCTGTGTGAGCGGCAGGGACCCGATGATTTGAGCCATCACCCGCTGCCTGTCAGGGTACACATGAGCAGAAAACTGGATCAGAAGTGGAGCGACCAAGACTCGAACCCAGGCCCTCTGCTATTCAGTGCAGGTGCACCAGCTGCTACCCTGGACCCCGAACCAGATTGTTCTGCTCATAACTGAAGAAGCATCCTGCTTTTGAAATGATCCCATCTGCTTTGGGGACTCGGGAAAGCTTCTCCCCAACTCTGAACAGTTCTCTTTACATCCCTTCCATCACAACCAGAAGTGGCGTCCAGTTGGCGTCCTCATGGTGTTCCTGCCACCATGACTCCCAGTCCATTTCAACGTCTGGACAAGATTCCCTGTGTGTCCAAGCCCTCAATACGAAGGCGGGGACCTGCCACATACCTCAGGGGAGGTCAGGGCGCCAGGTGGGGACTCTCAGTAATGGGGGATTGCCTCTCTACCTGGGTGAGAACAGGAGAGGCAGTCCCCTGCGTGGCTGGGGTGGTTCTTGCAATTTTCCCTGATGAACACCTGTTTGGTGGGGGAGCTGTGTGAACGGCCCCATAATAATGAACAGGTTTCATAATGGCATGTTAGTCTTAATATGGGGAGACCCTGAGACCTGCTGCCCTCCCACCCTCACTTCTCTCTACCTTTGCCACACCTCTCACAACACCATCAAACTCATTTTTTCCGAAACTCTAACCTCCTTCCTTTGCTTTGAAGAGTCTCTGTCTCAAACACGCCTGACAGTATTTGTGGACTTGGTTTTCGGCTTGTTTTTCAACAGCTCTGCTGTATCCCCAGAGCCTGGGTGAAGGAAACATCCCGTAGATGCCCATCAAAGGAGTCAGAAGGTTCAGAGAGTGGCACTCCTCTGCTAATGGCACAGATAAAAGCCAGTTTCTCCAACTGAACTACCCTGTGGGAAAATCACCATTGAGTCTGCATTGAATTTTCCAGATTGCTGCCTTAAAGAAGCCCGGCTGGCTGGCACAGAATTGGAAGGGTGGCCAGTCTCCACCCCACCCCAACCTCAATGACCCTCACCAGATGCCTACTGAAGTGACCCCATAATCCCTGCTGCACCCCAGAAATTTCTGAGCTAAGCACAGAGGTCAGTGTTAAAAAGAAACCCTTCCAGCTATTTCTGTTCACGCCCAAGTTAAAGGAGGAAGAAGAGGTGGGAGGTACAAGGAGACAGGGTCCCCTCGCCTGGAAGTGCCTGCCGCAGGACCCCTGTACCGCACTGCCCTTCCTTGGGTCTCCTTTGCCAGCCGCGAAAGGGGGCTACTGCGAAAGTGGGCAACAATGCCGTCTCACTTGTCTGGGTTGGCGAGAGATGGAGGCAGGGACTGGGCGAGGGGAGCCAGTGCATGAGCACCCAGGGAGGGGAGGTGGGATCCCCCGATGCGCCTGCCTAGAGAGGGTTTGAGGGGTAACCGGGTGGGAGCCCGGTAAGAAAGCAAGTTCCTGGGAAACTCGCTGGCGCCGCTGGTTGGTGAAGAGGAGCATGGGGCGCTGCGGTCGGCTGACGACTGGTCCCCTCTTTCCCAACTTGGAATCCTCAGAGAAAAGCCAGACCCATTTTACAGCCGCGTAAAGAGAGACCCCCGAGACAGGGTGTAGCTGTGGTCGGAGCCCTTCCATCGCCCGGGGATCTTTGGGTGTTTGTGGTGGGGGAATGGGAGAGAAGCGGGGAGAAGTGGCATTCCAGGGGCTTTGCTTCGCTCTGAGAACGAAGTAGAGACCCTGATTCTACTCCCAGTTCGCCCAGGTTGGTGTCCATCCTGCAGAGCCTTGAATCCTCCCCCAATTCAGAATGACCCCATGCTGACCTCCAGTTCTGTCTAGAGACCCCTATCCCCCACTCCAGTTGTCTCGGGCTGGCACGAGCAGTCCCCAAAGCCGACTAAACGCCACCCGCTTCCCCACCCTGGAAGAAAGCTAGCAATCCAAGGCTTTCCCAGTAGGACAGCACCACGCGAAAAAGCGCAAAGCAAGAAAGGGCTGGACCCGGCACAGGGAGGAAGCTCCCCGAGACAGAGCCAACAGAGCTGTCTAGGACGACTGGGAGAGGGTTTACGGGGGCGGGCTGGGACTGGGGGCTGGTCCCTTCTCCCCCAGGACCACTTCAGTCGTTTGTCACCCCAGGCTGTCCCCTAGGCACGTGCAGCCGGAGGCGTGCGTCAGCACTGGGCAAACAAATGACTGGCCCACCGCGCCAGGCGGGGGCTATTTAAGAAGCATCCGTCGCCCGCCTACCCTGAACTTGGCTGGGGCGCTGGGCTGCTCCGCGGCACTCGCTGACCCTGTGTGCTACGCGCTCAACCCCAGGTAAGCACCCACCTCGCCCGCGGACCTGTAGGTGTCCGGGTTCTTGGTTTCGCACCTCTTTCCGGTTTTTGTTTGTTTGTTTTCTGTTTTATGCGTCTTTCCTCCGACAGAGCACAAGATCTCAGCCCCCGGGTTGGGAGGGCTGAGCTGCCTTGGGGACCCGGGCGCGCGCTTCCGCGCCCTTCCCTTCTACGGGCGATGCTGTGAGAGCCGGGTGCCAGGAGTTGGGCGCACGCTGGGATTCCCTGGTCGGTTATCCGGTGTCCGGCGCACTTTGCAATCTTGCCAGATAGAACACCAAGCAGTTTTACTGTTTAAATGTGTGTTCTAAATACAAGGGACTGATGGGGAGAAATGCAGTTTCCGGGGTAAAGTGCTCCGGTATTTTGTTCTGCTAGGGAATCTAAATGCAGTGAGAGCTGAATGGTTACTCTTGGATGTTTCAGACCTTGCCTAGGTTTAGTGCCAGTTCCCACAGCTTGGGGATGCTTGGTGCATATGGCCTTTGCTTGGTCCAGTGTTTTAGAGGGTACCTGTCTTTTCTCCGTATTGAAAGCTTCACAGCCATCGGGAAAGGCTTGCTTCAAGGGTCTCATTTCTCTCACGGAAATCTTCCCCTGTGGGTATTTGGATGCTCTTTTCCTTTGTGCTTTCTCGGAAGAGAGTGGCTCTACAAACACTCCCTCCAACTTTAGGGAAAGAGAGAAGTCATCCGGGTGTCATCCCTGAGTTGGAGCTCTGCTCCCGGCCGGCCTTGGTGTGGGGCAGTGTCCGCTCTTGGATGGCCAGCCTTCACACCTCCCCACCCCTGCCTCACCGCCCTTTGCTCTTCGCAGCCATGAATAGCAGCGTGAGCCTGTACGTGCTGATGGCGGTGCTGGCAGCCAGCATGCTGACGCAGGCTGTGCCCCCTGATGATCCCGCCAGTTCTGGGGTGCAGCGGGCAGAGGAGGCACCCCGGAGGCACGTGAGGGCTGTGCAGAAGACCGATGCAGGCGAGTCCCGAGCACACCTGGGTGCTCTGCTGGCCAGGTACATCCAGCAGGCCAGGAGAGGTAAGGATCCCACCCACTGCACCTGCTCCTGGCTCCCAGTGTAAGTCAGGAGGGAGCAAAAGATGAGTTCAACTGACAGGTCCCCTCCCTTGCCCACTGTTCACTCCCCAAGTTACACCACAGAGCACCCTGTGGCTTTCTGGACAGCCTTGGCAGCAAGCAGAGGGAACGCGGAAGCTTTCATAGCAAGGAAAGCTAACGGGCTGTAACATCTCTCTGAGCTAACCTTTGCACAGTGCTACCATTTAAGTCTGCCTTGGGTAGACATTCAGGTGTAATAACAGAACACCTCCCCCTGCCATACACACACACACACACACACACAGGGCTCCCAGATATACTAAATCCCTCTGCTATACATGCAGTGTGCTTGGAAAGCCACCCTGCTCCCGACACTAGAGACCTTCTAGCAGGAAATGACCAATGCTGGGAGAGGTCCAGAGTGGGCAGCAGTCCGTGTCCCTTAACTGTCCCTTTCCACTCGTGTGCCCCAGGGGAGCAGGGTCGTTGCAGGCCTGAGTTGCCCTTGGCAATGACTGCCAGTGTTGCCCCAGGAGGGGTTGTAGGCGTGTTGCGGCTGGAAAGGTGGTCCCCACAGCAGCAGGAGAGGAAGGAGTCCCAGTTCCCTGAGCTTCAGGTTCGTCTCCGGGAGCAGATTGAGTCAGCAGCTGCCCTGCTGAGCTGCTCCTGTCGCCTCCAGGGACCTGACTGTCCCATCTGCAAAGAGAAGACGAGGCTGGGGTCCTCCGGCCCTTTCCAGCTCATTATGGGGTTCAGAGAGAGAGGCTCACCTAGCTCTCACTGTCCTTATGAACCCCATTTTTGGACTTGGCAGCCTTTTTTTTTTCCTGGCAGCTTCATCTTCAAGGATACTGATGGTAAACTGGGCTGTGGGGCAGTGGGCCAACCCGCACCAGCAGAGCTGGACCCTGGCAACATCCAACACGTTTGTGGGGAGGCAAGGGTGGCCCTCGAGCTGCTCTCCTAGCCAGCCCGTGATGGATGTGAACCTTAATTCACGGCTTGACCAGAGAGGAAGACAGTGAGGGGCTCGGTTCCCCAGAAACTCCCCGAGACTCCTCTGCAGGTGGAGCTGGTATGACCCTTGGGTGTGTACGTGTTTAAGGGGCATAGTATAACAACTCATTACACATACAGTCTGCAGTGCTAAGATCAAGCTAGTTTTTCTATTGTCTTAAGGACTTTTAACACTGTTTTAATGAACAGATACTAAGCATCCACATTTTGGAGGTACAACACAATATTTCAGTATGTGAGACTATAAAACTTTCTGACCGTTTGCTATACTTTTTTCATCTCTGAGAAACTAACCCTTCTACACCCCCTCCCCCACCAGTCACTACGTTCTCTGCCCTCCTAAGGAAATCCTTAGATAACAGGGAAAATCCGAAAGTCTTTTGGGTTCCTGCAGATTGTCAAGTAATTCAGTAGCTGCCCCCCCCCCATGGGAGTTGCATCTACTAGCAGTCTGAAATAGCCTAGGGTTCTCACAGAGCCATGAGCCTCCCGGATCCAGGACCCTTCTCCCCAGCCTCAGGAAGGAGCCACAAAGCAGTAGAGCCAGTAACTACAGCACAGATCCTGCAAAGTGATGCTCGGTCCCTCTTCCCAACAGCCCTTCTCTCTATGCCCCCAGTCCATGCTGCCAAACCAACCCAGATGGGCATGGCAGGCCCTGGGCAATGGAGCTGTCCATATCTGAAGCGTGTGCTAGCCAGAAAACGGTCACACACTTTGGTTTAGCGCCTGTGAATCTGGAGTGACCATTTTCGCACTTCATTATTGCATAGTCTCTTTGAGGAATCTGCGCATTTTCAGATGGCCTTTGGTCTGGGCTGTTACGCTTGAAGGTCCTAAACAAGGCAACACACTCTTTAGCAGTGCTTGAGGGGAGGTGTTTCACTGGGAACTGTCTGCAGACTGCTCAGTGCCCAGAGGAGTAGCTGCAGGTTCTAGCATAGGGCATTGGGAAGGCATGTAGGGGCCTTGTGGCTTTTGTGCCCAAAGCTCAATGCTAGACCTGTGTTGTTTCAGAGCAGCCTCGCTCTGTATTAGTATGCCCGTAGTGTGTGTGTGTAAGCCAGGGCTGGGGAAGAGTGGATAGCTTTTATGTATCTTGTACAAAGACAGCAGCACCACTGAGAGCCTATCTAAGCCCTGAGCTCTCCGGAGGACCCAGAAGCCACTCCACACCCCAGGCCATTCTGGGATTTAGTCTAAAGGAGACTGGCCTGGCCCTCTTGTCTCGGGCCACAAATGACTGATTGGTAAGCCAGTGCCATCCCCGGGCATGTCAGGAGAGACAGGCAAGGGTGTGGTAAATGCAGTGCCCACGGCTGCCCACAGCATCCCCGGCAGCAACTGAGGCTGCTTGCTGGTCAGCTGGCTGTTGCTGGGGGATTTGCTGAGAGGTACCCGCCTCGGGGGGTAGCGAGGCAATGAAACATTCGGGCACCTCACCCCATGTGCGGAACTGGGCAGAGGAGCCCACAGAACCACTTTGAAAATATAACATCTCTCGCACCAGCAACTACTGCCCTCTGTGCAGTTACTCAGTCCTGCATTTCTGCATGCTTGAGATCTTCCTACCTGTAAGGGGTGTGTGTGTGTGTGTGTGTGTGTGTGTGTGATATTGCCCAGTTTCCCAGAGTCCCCCTCACACATGCAGCTGGCACCGTTCTCAGCTCACACGGCCCTGTGCCTTCCTCCCCACCCCTCGTAGCTCCTGCTGGCCGCATCTCTGCCATCAAGAACCTGCAGAGCCTGGATCCCAGCCATAGGATAAGTGACCGGGACTACATGGGCTGGATGGATTTTGGCCGGCGCAGTGCCGAGGAGTATGAATACCCCTCGTAGGAGCAGGTGGTCGCCCTCAGCCCGACAGGAAACAGCCGCCTGACCTGGAAGGCACGGGATGAGAAAACAGCCACACTCTTATTTCGGTGTCTTGGCATTTTGCAACCCTAGGCATTAAGTTCTCAATGTGGGAAAGTCTGTAAATTGTCCAGTGAGTGCCCTCTCTCTTACCCGCCCCCACCCACAACCGCCCCGCCAGCCTCAAAATTGTGCAAATGGAAGACCCATATTTCCTTCGCCTGTGACTCCCTATCCCAAGGTGTCATGATGCTATTAAAGTGATTGCTTCCTCAGTCTGTGTGTGCTGATGTGGGAAGCTGGGTATCTGGTGCCCAGGGACAGGTCCCCACGACGGACAGTTCCAGAACATTCTTAAGAAATGTGGGGTCCAGGTGTGGGCTCTGTGTTCATGCTGCAGATAATAGAGCCAGTCAAAGGGCCCAGGTCCCAGTATGGCCACCTTTGCCTTCAATGTCACCTTCCCCATATAGGGGGGTTTCTTTGGGGGTTCTCTTGGCCTTGCAGTGAGCAGGCCCAAGTGAGGGTCTGGCACACACATGGTTGTTCCATGACCCCATAGCACAGAAGTTCTGGTCCCTCCATTGCCCGCATGCCCCCAGCTAGCAAGAGTTACACATTAGAGCACTTGAGGGCCCTGGACCAGTGGAACCTCTACCAATTCAATCCTGGTTCAGCCAGTCTGGGCTGGGAGCCCCACTGTGTCTCGCAGTGGGTCCATGCTGCGCACAGCCTGGGGCCAGTCCACCTGTTGGCCCTCTGTTTGGGGGGGGGGTGCAGGACACTGCATAAAGAGCCCAGGTGCCTGGGCTTAGGAAACTGCCCCCAAGCCTGTAAGCCCATCCTGACTCTGCTCCCCCAGAGCAAACTCCAGCTCAGGGCAGAGGCCGGCCGTGCACACACATCTCATGATGGCTCCGATGTTTTCGGCACTTCCAGAGGCGGGGACACAGAGCATGTGTCTGGCAGAGAAGGAGCTGGGAGACTCAGCCTGGATGCCGTGGCTGCAGAGCAGGGCACTGAAAGGCAGGGGGTGTTGGCAGAACCTGCTGGAACTTCCTGCGTGGGAAAAGGAGGCAGGGAGCAAAGCCCTGTTCTCCCGTAGTACTATCAACGCCACCGCTGGATCAGCCCAGCCACCCTCACACGGCAGTATCCCTGGATACCATACCATCAGGACCTGGATCTTCTCAGCCCCTCTGCGTGGACCACGTCACACTCCTGCAGCCACACGGCTTCCAGGCGGCCTAGGAACTCCCATGCTGTCAGAAAGCCATGGCCTGCTCCACCTCGTCCCTTCCCACCCTCACCCTTCTCTCCAAGAACCTCTCTAGTGTAGGACCTGCGCCCCAACCATGGCCCTCTCAGCGCTGCCCATGAAAGCGGCTCAAAACATCTCCGCTAGAATTCAGAAGCCGGAAAGAGGGATAGCTACCACTCTCGGCCAACAAACAGCCCCACGCCCACACTGTGGGCCACACTCATGCAGTAACTTGGTGGCGGAGCCCGTGGCACTCTCTGGGGTGAATTCCCTGCTAGGCGGACACACCCACCATTGTCTGCCAGCCCTGCGATGGCTCTCGATTTGATGGCTCAGACTCCCGGATGGGGGACACGTGGTCTGCCCTGACTGGAGACAGCCCAGGGCTCCACCTGACTGGCAGCCTGATAGCACACAGGATCAGCTTTCCCCAAATGTGGAGGTGACACCTGTGTCCACTATTGGGAGCAGACTGTTATCCAGCCTGCCAAGTGCAGATGGCACCTTTGCACTGCCGGTCTCAGATGGGAGAAAGATATTCCTTCTAGGTTCTTTAACAACTGTACCCTGTTCGTTGAGGCCGGCACCATGGCTCAATGGACTAATCCTCCACCTGCAAGCACCAGCATCCCATATGGGCGCTGGTTGCTCCACTTTCCATCCAGCTACCTGCTTGTGGCCTGAGAAAGCAGTGGAGTACGGCCCTAAGCCTAGGGACCCTGCACCCATGTGAAAGACCCAGAGGAGGCTCCTGGCTTAAGATCAGCTCATTTCAGCTCTGGCTGTTGCTGCCATTTGGGGACTGAACTAATAGAAGATCTTTCCATCTCTCCTCCTCTCTGTAAACCTATCTTTTCCAGTAAAAACAAAAAGCAAACAAAACCCACCCCTCCTTTTTCCTTGCTTCTTGACTATTATTTTGCTCCAGTATCTTCAAATTATTGCTTAAAAAGGCACAAAGAATTGTGACCTTGTTCACTTCCTCTGGGTTCTGAAAGCATCAGAGTGCTGTGTTTGGGTCTGTTCCTGCTCTGAATTATCTGCCGTAGTCAGGGCCACCTCTCACCAGCAGCCAGCTAGGCAGCTCCCGGAACCCTCCTGGGGGTGGGGGTATCCTGCTCCTGGAGGTCCCCAGCCCTCTCTTGCTTCCCCTTCCTGCAAGGAGCAGCTCTCCCCGATCCTGTCCCACCTCCCACCCCAAGGTTGTTGCAGGTCAGCCTGAACCTTGGGCGTCTGCCCTTCACGTGGCACATGGTCCGCCTTTGCAGCGCTGTGCGTTGGCGTCACAGGGCGCAGGCTGCAGCACGCGGGACAAGCAGAACATGCTGGCAGCGGCTCTCTGCTGTTTCCAGAAAATAGGCAAGAACAACACTGTAAGAACATAATAATAATTAAAACATTAAAAAGGGAGTGGGTTGATTTTAAAAGAAGGGACGCATGCAACAAAGATACAGAAAATGTTTTGCTAACTACGTTTAAAACACTTCCCTGTGTTTCTTGAGTGTGGTCACAGGGTCTGTATGCTGGTCTCCTCTTCCTCCAGACCCCAAGTCCCGTGCGGGTCCCTGGAGAACTAGGACCATGCCTCCACGACTTCCCCCAAGGGGCCACCCCTGATCCCCACCCTCCCACCCCCATGCAGGAACTCACAACTATATCAGAACCATTTCACAGGCCTTGCCAGCTTTCCAAGGGGCTGGGCCTGAGTCTGGAGCTGCCAGCATAGGGACCCAAGACCCGAATGAGGGAGCCACTCAAGCCCTCTGAAGATGAGAGTGGAATGGAAGGACTACCCCATGATCAAAGACGTTCTTGGGGGTCCAGCATCCTGGGGCTGTTGTGGAAGCACTGCAATGCTCCGGAGTGGTAGAGCCTGGCCTGCCGCTTCGAACCCCACACAAACTCCTTGCGCACCAGAAGACCACCTGTGGTGGTGGTGGTGGGTGGGTTGAGGTTTAGGGGCGGCAACTGGAAGATCTGGACTAACGCGCACACACCCACCTGAGCTGCCTCCTGGACCATACCTTCAGGTCTTCTGCAGTCTCCAGGCGCCCCCTAGTGGCGATGGAAAGTCCTTTCCGCAGGTTACGCTGAGCTTCAGCACACAAAAATTTTGGCTTCATTTTTATCTGTCTCAACAGGAATTCTTTTGTAGAGCGTCCAGCTGAGGTGTGAATTCAGCATGGCTCTTCCTCCCCACATGCCTCATGCCCCAGATCTCCAGGATAGCATGAGGACCCCACAGACTATTTGGTGAGCTCCGTGGTGGCACTCCTTTTATCCCTCCAGCAAGTACCCCCAGGAGCCTTCTTCTCTTTGCCCCTCCAGCACACCAAGGGCTTTGCTCCCTCTGCTCAATCGCCTTCCCACCCCTCTCCCCGGACAGCCCTAAGTTCTCTGCAAAGCCCGTATTGTCCCACTTGGGGCCATCATCATTCTTCTCACCGGGCATAGTTCTGGCTTACTCTTGTGCAGGACTCCCCGCCTTCACTTCAATTACACTTGGGGAGGGACACAGCTTGGGTGGAATTAGCTATGTGACAATTTACTGTTTCTATTTCAGAGGTTAAAAAAACCACGGCGTCCCCTAAAGAGAACCAAGTGGTGTGCCTGTCACTCCACTCCCAAACTGTGGCACAACCTACCATTGTGTTGGCTTTGCATCATTTCATGTTGCTACGAGTGCCCATCTGGTCGACCTCCGCCTCTGTATTATGGAAGACAACTGGACAACATGCGTCTGGGAGAGACTCCCCAGATGTGCACAGACGGGAAGCTGTCCGTCTATGGGTTCTTTGGTAACAGACTGGGGCTGGTGACTTTCTGTGGGGGACCTGTTCAAAGCAGACTTCTCAAAGTTCATGGAAAAAGGAGGGTTTTTGATCTAAGTCCATTTGGGTTCACAGGGTTGTTTTTGTTTTTGTTTTGTTTTGCTTTTGCTTTAAATTCATGCACAGTGTTCTTGTGACATGCACTGGCCACAGACTTCTTAAAGACCCCTGGTGTGTTCTCCCAGTGGGCTTTCACATATGGTGGAGGACACAGCGGTGCAAAGGAGATCCTGTTCCGACCACACAGATCTGGTTCCGAATGTACTCTTACATTCCTTTTCCCTCCAAGCTTTCTTCTTGAACGGAAGCTAGCAAACCACCAATCACAATACCAACATGATTTCCATCATTTATTTTATTGGTTCTCATCAGTGAATAAACTTCTGTTGTGGATGTCGGATGCATCACCACACTCTTCCTGGGAGTGGTCGCACAACGCGCTCTCTCGTTGTGCTTGTCGCCCATGCTAAACACCACGGCCTCTGGGCCGCCGGGTCTGCATTCACACTGGCTGGTAGTTCTGGCCGCGGCCATGCTATGTGGAGTGGTCCATTCAGTGCCTGGTTTTCACATTCTTTTGTCATTCCACCTGCTGCTCCGAAATACATTCAAATAGAGGGAGCCGAGTTCCTTGCAGTGAGCATATGACAGTGGGGACAGCTGAGGACATAATCTTTAAAAAAAAAACAAAAACAAAGAAAAACCCTACTCTTGTGTTTGGAGAATAAATTAAGTTTGAAATCGTGGCCTGAAGCTGGCTTCCTGGGGCCTTCTCTCACAGTATGCTTAGCGGACATACAATGTCCCCACTCAACGGCAGGACACATCAGGGGGGTGGGGACACAAAGTGACAATCTCACTGGCTTAAGAGGATGTGTTCCTTCTCTAAGAATCCGGTCACGGGACCCCATGGCACACAATGCAGTGCTGATTCAAAGAAAGAAATCTCTTCTTGGATTGCAAGGCCACAGGCCCACAGTGACCAGAGCTGGAAGGCAAGAGGGTGTTTAAAAAAATCATAAAACAACGACAGAAAAACAGCACACGCGAATAATAAATAAAAATTCAAGACAACATCAGTGACAATGACAGGAGGCCAGGGCTACCTGGCTCGCCCGTGGTTTGTGGTCCACCAGCACCTCCATCTTTCCCTCAGCGCAGGGAGTGGCACAGGGGGCAATAGGGCTGCTGGAGGGGAGGGGACGTTGGCAGAAAGGAAACACCTGATTGTGACCCCCCCCATCCAAAGCCAGAGGAAACATGTGCACAGTGGAGGCAAGACCACGCCAGGGCTAGCCACACTGGCCGGGGGAGCTGAGTAAGGAGGCCAGAGCTTCCTGTCTCCTCCCCACCTTGCGTGGGTTTGTTGTTAACCATCCGTGTGGTCCTTCCCTCAGCTGGTCCCTGCTGCTACTCCTTCTCTTCTTACCAGAAAAGCTGTCTTGGGCTCTGCTCTTAAATCAATCGTGTTGTAACACCAGGGCCCTGGAGTGGGGCGGGGGATTTAGGATACGTTTCCTTGATATCACAAAACCACGGAGAGAACGCATGCTGGCCAGTACCGTGACCTCCCTGCGTGTGGACACACAGAGAAGAAACGAGTGGCGACGCAGACTGCACGGTGGGCTGCTGCAGGCGCCCCCCCCCCCCCCGGCCCCCGTCACACGCCTGAGCTGACGGCTCAGCAGGGACATGCTTGTCCACCGGGAGCAGAGCGGGGCGGCTCTGGGAGAAGCCGGGCTGCCCCTCCTCCTCACCACGGAAGAACATCTCTCCCACGGTGCAAGGTGACATCAACGGCAGGTGGTCAAGCATGGTGTGGCCAAGGCCAGGGAAAATGAGGCGGCAATGCACTATGACCTTGAGTGTACCAGGGGAGCAGTCAGCCCCACAACTCCCTGGCTTCCTATCCATGGGATAAGAACACATGGGGAGTTTCTGCGTTTCTCAAGAGGAAAGTAGACGGAAGAAAGGCGCCTCCATCCAGGCAAGGTTCTGGATGGACAGGGCAGGGGTGCCTTGCGGACCCGAGGAGGTGGGGCAGGGGCGAGGTGCCCGAGTCCTATGTACATGTTGCGTTTTGTTTCTTTTTTTTTTTTTAACAGAGTAGTCCCCACTCTCCACCCCCTTAGGCACGAGGCTGATGTGTGGAGCTCAGGAGGGGACGGACAGTGATGGGGACAGAGTGCAACAGAGGGGGGGGGAGGATAGGTTGGCGAGGGAAGAGTGTGGGGCCACGCTCCCCTCCCCCTCTCCTCACCGTAAGCTAGTCTGTTTGGGGAGCTTAGCACCCATCAGGATGCCCGAAGTGAGAGTTACCGGGGCTTTCATCTGCATGCTGGAGCCCACCATGGTGGGGAAGCTACGATTCCGCCGGATGCCACTGCTGAGCTGCAGCCCGCCGATGGCACTGGTGACTGTGGGGCACCCGAGAGGCAGGCCCTCAGGGACCATGGCGTGGGTGGGGCCCGGGCCCCCACAGAGGAGCGGTCCCTGGTCCTCGGTCAGCGTGGGGACGTGGGCCCGCCCCGAGGTCACTGCTCTGGCCACGCCGAACCTCCTGACTTTGTCCACGAGGTTGAGGTTGGAGACGGACACGTCGGTCTGGCTCTCGCTGCTGCGGAAGCTCTTCTTCTCCCGCACGTCCCGCAGGATGGAGCTGGCCGGCTTGGAGGCGAGGAAGTTGTCGTAGGGGGGGCTCGTGCACTTGAACTCGAAGGAGGGTGGGGACGCGGTGGGCGTCTGCATGGGCGAGTTGGGTGGGGTGGAGGGGATTACGGCCATCCTGGGCGCGTAGGAGTGCAGCATTGAGCCCCGGGCCGCCCTGTCCCAGCTCTGGGGGTCGTACACGGCCGCCGAGATGCCCCTCTCCTTCAGCAGCCACACCAGCCCTAGTGATGTGCTCATGGTGGTGGTGGACTCCCGGACGTTTGTGAACGATTCAGCCAGGCTCAGCCTCCGGGGGGTGCACGGCGTAGCCACTGGTGTGGACTTCAAGTGGCCCGCGCTGCCGCAAGCTGGAGTCGGGGCTGAGTTAAGGCTGCAAGGGAAGGAAGTGTCATTACCTACTGGAAGTGTCCTTGAGGGCGAGCCACAGGGCTGGGGGGCCCAATCTCCTGCAGGAGATTTGGCCAGGAGTCGGGTTTGGGGGGGCTTGAGTGAAGCCTTTGATTCCCTGTTGTGGGGGGCTTTGGGTAAAGGGACCAGAAAGCTGTCCCCGATTTCCTCCACTGCTCCCACTAGGCTGTAGACCCAAACCCGAGGCTGTCAGGAGGGAGAAGAAGGGGGGTTCGCTTGCTAAGACGCTCTTTCCCTGCCACACTGACTCAAACCCCAGCACTCTGGTCTCACCCTGCCCCAGCTCTGAGATGCCTGAGGCTACTGGTGAACTGGCATCAACAGCCAAAGCCAGGCAGGCAGTGCCCGTTAAGTCCACGGTAGCTCAGCCCAGTGCCCTCTGCGCTGCCTCGTGCTGTCTCAACCCATCCTGAGGAGCGAAGGAGGCGCGGGGCCAGAGGGAGCCTCTGGGAGCCACCTGCCCTGATTGGTCAGATGCTGGTAGAGCTGTCCAGTGAGGCTGGGTGTGCGAGGCTGAGCTACGGATGGAATGTGGAATGACACTTTGAACAGACACTATGGGGATGGGGGGAGCTAGCCCTGCCTGCACAGCCTCCACCCGTCAACCTTTTCATGGGGCCTGCCTAGGATGCTGTGGCTGCCAGCAGCCCTTGAAGCAAGTCAGCAGGGTGGGGCCCCTGGAGCTTGGGGAGACGCCTCAGTGAAGGGGAGGCCCAGAGGTGCAGCCTTCACCACAGGGAGGGAAAAAGAGGCGCAGGTCCTTGGAGGGACCCGGGACACGCCTTCTTTGGCTGGTGAGATCCCTCGGTAGCCAAGCCAGAGGCCTTGTGTGGCTGCCCACTCGAGTGACCGTGACACCAGCACAGGGCGGGGACGATAGCCAGAACAGGTGCATGGCATACAAGCTCAGGCATGGGACTGCCGGTGGGTTGGGATGACTCAACGAAACCGGAGATTAGCAACCACGGTGGACTCCTGCGGCTAAAAACTGTGGATTTCTCAAAAATTCTCTAAATTCTCTTTACACGGCCATTGTTAGTAACAATTTTGTTTCAGGATGATTTTCCTTTGGACCGGGGGCAGGCAGGCCCTCTCTTGCCTCTGCTTGTCCAGGAATTTGGTCCAGCAGGGCTCCGATTGTGCACCTGCAGTTACGTGGCCACATCCATTCTCCACGGCACCAGCTCCTCCCCAGGAAGTCACGTCCCCGTGGCTGGAGTAAGCATCTTTTCCAAATATAAACCCATAAGAACAGAGGTAGCCAGTTCTCCCTTCAGGGGGAGGGGGCAGGAGGGGAGACGGAAAAGACAAAGCTAAAAACGCCTGGTGACAACCACAGGTTAGGCCTCGATTAGTGCTGGCACTCGGTTGGACCGGGGTGTTTAGACGGGTTAGATGTCTCAACCATCAAGGCCGCGTTAGCCAGGCGCCACTGCAGAGACACATCCAAGCCTACGTCCGCGGGTTAGTGGCGGCTGCGCGTGCACACACAGCCCCTTCCACGACACCCTGCGACAGCAGGCACCTGCTGGCCGCGTGCTCACCCCCTGCCTCGCCTGTAGGCTCAGACTCTCTGCCCTACACCTCCTCTCAGTTCAACGGGGCACATGGCCGCTTCGTCGTCCTCCTCACATGACCTGTGGAGAGTTATTCATAGTTTAAGGTGCTCCAGGGGGCCACCTCCCTCCCTGTCTGCTTCACCCGCCACAACACGCCAGTGCCCGTCCACTGCACTGGAGGGCAAGCACTGGGGGTGGGGGATGTCCTTCTCCTGTGCAGAGGGAGGGGAGGAGAGAGGGGAGTCTTTTCCCCAGTTGCTGGGAACTGTAGCTGCAGGTGAGCTGGCCAGACCAAGCCCTATCATCCAGGTCTTCCCGTCCAGCAGCGGGCCCTGCTGCGTGTGTGGTGGGGCCTTGGGGGGGTTTCTTTTGGTCGTTAGGGTTGCCTCAGAGCTCAGGCACTGTCTGCAGAAGAATGTCATGTTCTACTAGGCCAGACTGAGCCGTAGGGCCAGCGGGCTAATGACGGGCCCAAGGATCCGTTCTATGGCCAACGGAAAAGGGAACCAATGCAGGGTCCAGGTCTCCCTCTCAGAGCTCGATCTGAGTCTGCAAGAGCCTCAACTCGGAAGGACAAGCACATTGAGGTGCTTTGGAGCCCCTGCTGGGCAGACTTCAGAAAGGAGCTGCTTCTACCTTGCACAGAAGGAGGTTCCTTGCCCCCCACCCACCTGAGGGCTGGGGGTCCCTTACCTTGGTGTGACCCGCGTGAGCTCGTCTGAAGGATGCAGGATACGGCAGGTGGTGAAGGTGAAGGTGGAGTTGGTCTGTGACATGCACTTCCCAGGGTGGTGTGCTAAATTGGAGGCGGGGCGGGGGGAAGGGAAGAACAAAACATATTCCTTGCATCCAAGTGGAACAACGACAGGGGACACGATCCAGCGGAGCCCTCGACAGATGCAAGAAGCGATGAGCTACCTTGTGAGCTGGACCTGGGCGAGGAAGGTGAAACGCGTGTGTTCTGAGTGGAACACAGCCACGGGTTTGAGCATCGGTCCGCAGAGCATCGAGTTCCAGCTTCCGGCCCATTCCAGACAGGGTCCCTCATCAGAATTCTGAGGCCAGTAGTGGATCCAGTTGCAGGGGGCTGGTGGTGGGAGGGGATGGAGTGGGGTAGAGCTGGGGTGCTCAAGGGCCCTCATAGGTGAATTTGGTTTTGCCCCTCAGAGGTCCAAATGTGCTCTCTGCTCAGGTTGTGTTAGGCTCGGTGCATTGGCAAGCAGGTGCCAAACCTCCATCCAGGGTAGGGGCGGCGGGGAGGGTGCTTGGCACCTGGGCAACAGGGCAAAGGTTCAGTGCTGCTCCCTTTTCTGTGCACACAAAAAAGGGGCCTGAGGAAGCTGGCTCCACTACTGTCCCTTGGTGATGGTCATGGGAGCCGCAGGGAAGCTCAGCTGCCCGGACAGCAACGTGGCAGAGTCCCAGGATCAAGCCTGGCGTGCGTGGCCCTGCTTCCCACCCTCCACCCTGCTGCTTTCCTGCCAGCTCTGGGATGCCTGATTTCCAAGAGCAAACTGCCCCCCACATATAGCGAGACAGCAGCCACGTGCCCTCTGTTGGCTCCCTTGCCCATCCGTGCTCTTTCAAGTTGCTGTGAGGGCAGCTGAAACGAGGCGTTAGGACTGTAGTGCCTCTAAGGGCTGGCACAGAAGCAAGCCAGAGAGTGCCGAGGAGACATCATGATTGTAGAGGCCGTCTCATTCATAACTCAAGCATAACTCAAGCATCGGGAGGGACGACAAAAAGGGGAAAAAATAAACAAAAGATGTTGCATAAAGTAGCATGCACCAGGAAGAGCTGAGTGAGTCCCCTGGCTAACCCCAGGTCCCACCCCAGCCCAGCCCTGCAGCAGCTCAGCCTCCAGAGACCTCCTGGGAGAAAACCACTTTGGGGAGTATGGGAGACCACGAGGAGTCAGAGGCTGTGAAGCTAGAATCTTCCAGCTCCTTATGGTTCAGTTTTCTCTGGGGGCGTTGGAATCAAAAAGGAAAATGCAACAGGATGGATGACTTAGTGGCCTACATTGATGAATCTTACACACAGCAGACTGTGTCTTTAAAAACAAAACAAAACAGAAAGCAGAGGGAACAAAACAATAAAAAATGTTGGAGACACACAAATTGAAGGCAGGCAGGACAATGCCAGGGCACACACATTAAATAAATAAATAAAGAATAAACCAAGGTGGTGCTGGTGGCCAGAGGGGCTGGGCGAGACTGGCTTGCCCTGCCAATGTGTGTCCCCGGCAGCTCTTGGGGCACCTACAGAGGCAGCCAGCATCACCACACGGAGCACTGAGCCAAGGGGGACAGAGGGAAACAAACAGAAAGAAAACCCCTAACACAGGAAAAAAAAATAGCTTTTAGGAATCTTGTTCCTCAACCAATCAATGTCATCGAAAACTCCGATAACTGTGAAAATGTTGCAAGTGAAATAAAAATGGACAGAGCTATGAAGGGAAGGCAACCGAACAATCACGACTCTCTCACTGCGATCAAGTGCAGAAACAAAAGCAACAGGAAGCCTGGGGGAAGAGGTGAACAGGTGTGCATGGAGGGGACGGGAGAAGTGACATGGGACGGGGGATGTGGAGGAGACGGTAAACACGGGGAATGAGGACAGAGAGGCCAGACAGAGAGAGTATTTACTGAGAGAATCCAATGAAGACGGGGACTGAATTTCAAAGCAGAAGCTCACCACCGCCGCCGCCCCCAAGCCCCATTGAGACACACAGCCAGGACAGCAAATCAGAAGGGTCCCAGATGCTCTCAACCCCCACCCCGACCCCAGTCCATATTCGATGGTCAATTGCAACAGGTAGGGAAGATGGACATTGGCAGAAGCAAAACCCATCTTGTACAAATGGGTTTGGGGGAAGACAGGAAAAGGCTGCTAAAAACCAAGAAGTCACCATTTCCCAGGGGCGATGGATAGACCGAGAAAACCCAGGGAGACCAGGGAGGAGGACCAAAAGTGCCAGAGAGATCCGGCCCCTCCAAAATACCACTGAGACGCCTGGATGCGCCGGCTCTCCCATGTCACCACAGACTGCCAGGCCGCTGCTGTGCCTCCCTTCCTTGAGATACAAGAGAAAGAGTGAGTGGCGTGGTGCTGGGCCGGCCCGAGGCTCCCCTCTCCCGCCTCCAGTGCTGGCCATGAAAGGCAAGGGGCTGGGTGTAGGCAGAGAAGCCAGCAGGTGCTAGGACCCAGGGAAGCGCAGGTGACGCTCTGGTACAGAGCAAGGGGCTTGGAGTCAGCAGCCCTCTGCTGCTGGCTGACCCGCGTGCCCACTGCGGGGAGGGGGGTGCACAGAGCACAGGGTTCCTTGCACTGAATGCTCCACCTTCCTGCTTAAATCCTTGTGCTGTTTCTCAACTGACTGCAGAGCACGGCGCCACACAGACAGAACAGGCTGGAGTCTGCACACGGACACCTTCTTTGACCATTTTATTTAGGAACAATTTTGCATTTCCATCAAGCAGAACCCTGTTCTCCTCCAGGTTCTGAGGCTGGCAGCCAACTCGATCAGCTGTCCGTTCAGTGCCTCTTCGAGCCCTAGGCTGATGAACAGTGGCTGGCACGTTTGCTTTTTTTGTTTTGTTGTGGAACCATACGGCGGTCAAGCACACACCCTTTCCTTCGGCGAGCTGCAAGTGCACCACGCACTGGGAGGCTGGGGTGTGGGGTAGGGAGGTGGGGGTGTGAGGTAGGGAGGTGGGGGGCGGCCTGAAGGGTAAGAGATACCCTGCTTGCATGCCCTCTGCTGGGACCACGGCATACCTTCTGCACAGACCCACGGCAAGTACACGTGAGAAATGGTGCTCACTGCCTGTGTTCTCTGGGGACCGCAATGCCCGGGGTGGAGCTGGCAAGTGGGTGTTTAGGGTTCTACTGCAGCCTCCAGGGAATGGGAGGCAATGTCCCAACAGGACCCCGGTCCATGATGTCCGAGCAGTCTCCCAAGATGCCCCTCTGGGCCAAAGTTAGAAAAACATCAAGGCTGCTCTATGGACCTGCACAGCGGCTGCTGCACTGCACCTCGCCGTTCACGCCTCCCAGGGGAATCCAGGCAAGAATGCCTGCTGTCTGAAAAAGAGGGAGGGGCATGGTCAAAGCTGGGGCTCTCTGGGGCGCCCAGAGTTTCTACGGAGACTTGGGGCAGGATCGGGGGGGGGGGAGGTCTCTGTCCACCTGGCCACCCACAGGGTCGAGCCTGGACACATCTGCTTGCTCAGACACTGGGTATCCTGACAGTGCTCTTCCTCTCCCATCCGCACGGTGGCGGGCTGGGAAGGCCAAAGTCATCATGAAACCCAGTCCTTAGATGGGAGACCACACAGACACACACAGACACACACACACACACACACACACACAGCTGTCAGGAAAAACTTCCACAATAGAAACACTGGCCCTGCCACACACCTGAGCATTTGCTTACGTATCTATCTTTCCCCACACGAGTAACTCATAAAAATTCAAATTCACAAATGCATTTTGAACGGCTTGGGGAACACGCATCGAGGGCCATCCATCCATCCTGCTCTCCCCGACTCTTCCCAGGGCAGCAACCAGCTGATGCTCAAGAAATGAAACTCCCCCGAGCTTCCCCAAGCTTTGCTCTTTCTGCACTTGGAGATGGATGCAAAGCTGCTGTCACGTGACTTGGATTTGCTTTGCTGATTTTTGTAAACTCATGAAGGCAACACACATGGGCACACACACACCTTCACAGTCACAGCATAGGCCAGCTTCATCCCAGTCAAAACCAACCGATGGGAATGAAAGCCCATGGAAGGCAGAGCTTCCACTAGGCCCGGAGAACATAAAGCCATGTTGTTTTCTCAATACCAGCTTCTGAAGACCTCATCCCCTTGGGCTCGAGAAGGAGAAACGGGAGTGTCTTAACACACGCGTTCCCTTTGCACGCCCCATGACGTCAGCAAGGCAAATGGCAATGCTTTCAAATCCTCCCTCCAAGACTACAACACCGGGGCACAGAAAAAAATGCCTTCAATACTTTTTTCCCTATCACTTCCTTATCAAACGGTGCCCCTACCTTTCATTTTTCTGGGGGTGACAATAGTTGCTAGTCACCAAGTGTGGCACGAATTGACCATTTTCCTTTGGGGGATGGGGCACAGGAATTCAAAAGCAGTTTCGGGGTGCAGCCAAGCAGTAGCTAGCTGGTTCTTTCTCTTTGATTCAAGCTGACCTGGGACAGAGGCGAGAGGACGCGTTTAAAGCCTTTGCTTTCAGACTTCCCAAGAGTCCTGTAACTATTTTTACTTTTTCAAGTGTTTCTGGGACACAGGCCTTGTCTGGTCCTGCAGGTCTCTGGAGACTCCCAGGTGATCAGCTGCATCTGGCCAGCAGGCCCTCAGGGGTCCTGGTCACTGTCAACCGCCTCACAGGAGTTCCTGGTTTCTGCAGAACTGATTTGTGGTTGCTGCAGGCTTTCCAAGTCGGCTCTCCCCGTGGCGGCACTCAGCTGTCTGTCTCTCCGTCTCCTAGGCGTGTTGTTTAAAAGATGAATGGTTTCTCAGAGCCTGCAAGTCTCTCCAGTGGCCACGGATGCATCTTGGCATAGACACAAGGAGACGTTGGGAATGCCAGTAAAATAGAGTGAATTCAAAGAGTGGATGGCTACGAAGCAGCACCTCAGGCACTCTCTCCTCCTGGAGCATACACTGCCAGGCCCCGAGCAGCTGGCCTGGCTCAGAGCTGCCTTTCAGGCCTGTCCAGCAGTTTTCCCCAGCCACACAGTGGTCCAACTCCTCCAAGTCACGCCTGTGGACTCCAGAGCTCCAGGGCTCCTCTGCCCCCCTAGCCAAGAGCCCAGTGCAGACTCTGAAGCCTCAGCAATTTCCGTGGACACCCCTGGGACCCCTGGAGGTTTTCCGAGGGGGGTGAGGATGGTACAGACACTGCTCCCAACAGGAGGGCTTTGTTCTGGAAGCCCTGCGCTGTTTGCTTTGGAGGAGTCAGTCCTCTGGTTCTTGGTTTATTTTTCCACTTCTGGGTTGCAGCTGGCCTGTTTTGCGCATATGCTAATGACTAATGCTTCCTTAGCATTCCTGGCAACAGGTGGGTGTGTGCCCTGCCCATTCTGTCCACAAGGACCCAAGCCCTCCATCATGACTACACAAGCTCAGGGGTTGGAAGCAAAGCACTCCGGCGAGTGGGAACACGGCTTGCTTGGTGGAGGAAGGAACATCCCTGCATCCCAGGGATTATGAACCAGTATATGCGGGTTCCTTGTAGCCTTTCGGGGCCCTCGGGGCAGCTTCCCCTCACAAGCCTCTCTGAGCACCGTGCTTCTGTGCTGTGCAGTGGCCCTGGAAGGGAGCCATGCCACAGGCCACCGTGGCTTTGCTCTGCTTGTCCCTGCCTTAAGATGAAGGAAGCTGTGGGAATAGCGGCTTCCAGAACCTTCCATCTGGCTCCCTCCCAGCACCAGCTCCTCTTCTCTTTCATCATTTGGGAACTAACTGGACCTACCCATCAGACAAGTGGACTGAAGGAGGAAAGGCTTGGCCTCTGCCCCAGGTGGCTGCAGACTAGGTGGTTTATCTTGGGTACTTTTGAACCAAGTACCATGTTCTGTCTCCAAGCAGACTTTAGAATCTCGGCCCCTTCCCAGGGTCACTGTCGGATAAGACTCTGTCCTTGGCAGGAGCCTGTTTTAGGGTTTATCTACAACGTGACATGGCCTCCCCGTGAGAATGAACACTAAACAAACTGATGTCTTCCATTGGGGTTGCTTTAACCCCACCTTTTTCTCACCCTTAAGGATCAATGCACCCCTAACAATTCAGACTGGCCAACTATCGGTCTAACCTGGGCTTCGTCCTTCCCCACATGGGCCATTTCTCCGCAAAAATATAAACAACCAAGCACTCCCGGGACACACTCATGACTGCTCTATGAACCAAAGCACAAAACATGGCACTGAAACAAAGTAAAATTATAATCTAAAACACTGTTTCAAAATCCATTTTAATTGTCTAAATGCATCACAGTACAATAGCAGGAAAGCATCCATTTTGAAGACATGGGATCGTGAAAATTCAGTGAATGATGCTTCAGATAACACAATGAAATCAGGCAGAGCGTGTGTCAGTGCTCAGGGCTGCTTCTCCAGGGAGCGGGAATCTAGACGAGGGTGCTGAATATACATGTCTCACCCATTTCTTCCCGTCCCCACCAGTCACGAACTAACTGTCAGAATTCTGAGACTTCCAAGTTCCTCCCTATAGTCTTCCCTGGTGGCTCCTGGGACTGTGCTATTTGGCAACAGAAAGGTCCAAGCATCGAGGACCAGTTTTCCCAGCCCAGATACAAGTCTCAGGAGGTTGAGAGTGGTGGGGAGAAGCACGCCCCAGGCCTCTCCCTGAGGCTTCACCTGTGTGCATGTGACACCATAACTGCATACCAATTTAGAGAGTGACCTATTTCTTATATCCCGAGAATCAAACTGGTTCTGCCATTCCCAAGAGATGGAAAGAAAAAAAAAAAGGGCTCAATCACTGTGCACATTTCTCTCCTTTGCACCAACATGTTGGAGGTGAATCACACCTCACAGCCACACGTGAAGGCCAGCCCCTTCCCATACGACCCTCAGCAGCCTGGGGTGGTCCATCGTCATCACGCACCCACAATCTGACCCTTCCGCACCCACACTGTCCCGCTCGAGTCACTGGCCTGATCCCGCTGCAGGTGTGATGAGGGTGGGAGCAGGTGAGAACCACATCTCGTTTATGGGCAGGAAGAGTGACCATGACCCCAGGCCTTCTCTGTGGTTCCCTCTCTCCCTCTGCTGACCCGACAAGCTCTGTCCCTTCAGTGGAACTCTCCACAAGCTGCACCTCATGATGCCCCTTTGACCTCTTGTTCTACCCACAATGCTGCAGGGCAGGCACCACACTCAACTCGATGCCCATCCCGAACCCTCACCAGACCCTGAGCTTCCAGGTGCTGGTAACCAAGGGAGCCATACAGCTGCCAGCTGTCTTCCCTCTCTGGAATGTGCAGGTCTGGGATGGATCAACAGTTTAACAAGTATAACCTGGCAAACTTACTACCGTAAAAAAACATCTCCTATCATAAATTGGTGTGCTGAACAAACTTTTCCTAAAGTTTATGTCAAAGAAAAAAAAAAAAAAGACAAGTTGGTCCCACGTACAAGTTCCTGGACCACGGCTGTCAGGAACCTGCCAGGGGCACTAGCGACACACCTCTGCAAGCTTTGGGACCTGCCCTCCTGGCATTTCATGGGGGCCCCTTTCTGGGTCTCTACCTCCATCCCCCAGGAGTTCTTCCCTTCCCCCACATACCAGCCACTGAGAGGTCCTGGGAGACCAGAGCAAGGTGCACAGTTTAGAGCTAACAGTGGCCATGGTGCTCGATGCCCAATGATGCCCTGAGCCCGAAGGCTGTCATGCCCTGGGCTGGTGGATGGATAACTGCAGACTTCGGCTCACCCTACCAGTGCCTAGAGGGCACAGGGCAGGCCTCACAAGGTTGGGAAATCTCTGTTAACACACGTCTCAACAGCCTACTTGTAGGAAGAAAGCAACGTGCACACTGCAGTGGGGTAGAGTGACAACACTGGCCCAAGGAAATACTGTCCTATGCCTCTTACTATTTTCAGGCCATGAGTCCACGGGTCACTTCCTGGCAGACCCAGCACCTGTCCCTGCCCAGCTCAGCTCAGCGCACTGTGGGAGTCACCACCAGACCCAGGGTTGTGCCCCTCGGACAGGGGCAGGTGCACGTGCTGGCAACAAGGGTGCCGGCGTGGTGTTCTCGGGGGGACCCTAACGGGCCTCTCCTTTTTAGCAGCCTTTCCTGCTTGCCCTGCCTCCCCAAGAGCCCTGCTGGGCCATGCACCTCCAAGACGCCTGGCAGGGGAGGAGCGGGCTACCCCGCCGTGTTAGCAGGATGCATCTGACTCCATGTTAAAAAAAATTAGAGAGAAAAAATTAAAAAAAAAAAAAAACCAAAACTGAACCACACAATGGAAATGCCTTTCCCTGTCACCCACACAGACGAGCAGAAGCTACAGACAGAGAGCTGCTACGGATGGTGCTGGAAACAGACGTGAGAATGGCCCAGAACTGTGCCTCCGGGAAAGGTGCCAGGTTTATAGGACCGACGGCAGAGCCCTCACCAGACCCCTCCTCCTCCTCCTCCTCGGCCGCTGGCGGCGCCTGCATCTCCTCTGGGGAAGCCTGAAGCCGGCTCGGGGAACTTCTGCTGCCTGGGACAGTGGCGTGTATTCGGCACCTCTCACCTGAGGTCTCTGGGTGCTGCACTGGCGTGGAGGTAGCTAGGCCCGGGGGAGAAATGCGGTCACCTGTGTCGTCTTCCTCAAAGTCATTAAGGCAGTACACTTCGTCTAAGTCAACATCCAGCGTCCGGAAGCCCTTGGTGACGACCCCGGGCCGCGGGTCCAGGATGCCCCCCAGATGGGGCTGTGCCAGCTGCTGCCAGTGGTGGAGGGTGGCGGAACCTTGCAGGAGGAAAGGAAGAGAGAGGGTGGGGGACAGGGAGAAGGCAGGGTTAGGATGGAAGTTGAGGACTGCGACTGTTACCACCCTCATGGTGCTGGCATTGAACCCCACCCAGCAGGTGGACCACAGGGGAAGGGGGAACTATCGGGGCGGCACTGCCCCGCCCCGCTGCCCTACCATGCCCAGCTGGGGCATCGATGTAAGGAATCAGCGGTGAATTCCTTTACAAAGTAAAACGAATGCCATATTGTATAATGGGAATGCTTGGCAATAACAATCTTTAATCAATTCATGTCACTCCCCACCCCCGACCCTGATTCACCACATCATCATCATTTTACAAATAGCACAGGCAGACCACACGACAACCGGAGGCTGAGCAGCCTGCCTGGCTGGCAACACAGGACTCGAAGGACTCAGATGACATGGGAGGATGCTGGCACGCAATACTGTGCCGACACCCCCAAAGCCTTCATGACCCTGGGCAGCCAGCGGGTGGATGTTGGGGGCCAGGGGTCAGGGCATGGCTGCTTTGCAAGGCTGCTGGCCCATGTCGAGGCACACCTGCCCCCTGTGAAGCATCACTACCCAGGAGGCTCCCTGGAGGTTGGCAACTCTCTCCAGGGTTCAGAGACAGACACCAAAATTCAGTGAACCTGACTTGGTTGGTTCCCTCCCTGCTCCAGAATCCACAGGTGTGAGAGCAAGCAGGGACACCTGCCTTCCGGCCAGCAGCCCTATGCCTGGCAGCACAGCGCCCCCTGGAGGACACCGTGGGGCATAACACACACTCCTGGTGAGGAGTCCCACACTCAGTCACTGTGGGTGCTCCACTAGCAACCAACCAGCACTCAGGAACAGTCTTAAACAAGACACCTGGGACTGCACATGGCAGAGAATGGGGCAGATCTTAGAGTATGAGGACGGCCACGTCACCTCCACAGGGCAAGAAGAGGGGAGCCCAGAGATGCGGGAAGGTGAGGAACGGCAGCAAGCGAGTGCCGAGTCCCCCTGTCCACCTGAAGCAGGTGCGTGATGTCTACTCCCCGCAGCCCCGGAAGCCTGACGATGACTGGGGTGAAGGAAGCGGCAGAGAGGCTCCCTCAAGCTGCCCAAGGCTGTGTCCCCTACAGGACACGGCACTGCTGGGACTTGCACCCACAGCCCAGGGGCCAGAAGAGGTTGTTGGACGGCTGGTTTCCCCTTCATGGTGACTATGCTGCATCCATGCTGGAGCTGTGGAAGCCCCAGAGCTTGCCAGAGGCGGCTGGGTCGGCCAGCAGGCGATCCGGGAGCAACACCAAGTCTGGCTGCGGCATCCGCTCTGTTACGCTCACGCACTGCCCTCGACACAAAGACAATGTGACAGTGACAGGTCCGCGTGGGCCACGTCCATCCCCAGCCCTCCCAGCCTCTACTTGTCGGGGACAAAGTAAGACCATCTCTTCCCTTCCAGCTGCCTTTCTGCCCACTAGCCAAGACCCCACCCACCTTCCTTCTAGCTTTGCCACCCGAAACGCAGTCACACCTTCACGAGGGAGGAGCCTGGGGCTTGGGAGCCGCTGCGCGGTTGATAAGTGGACATGGTTGCCTAACTGCACCGCAGCCTGCCTCCTTGGAAAATGCCACCTGGGTTCCAACCAATCACGAAGGAGGAGCAAGATTCAGGACAAGAAATGCCGCCCGCCCCGTCTCTTCCATGCGGGAGGTGCCTTTCTAGTTCAGAGGTTCTCTCTGTCCTAAGGTCAGACGCAGAGACAAGACTGCTGATGCTGCTTCAACACCCAGGTCAGCCGTTCTGGCTGACATGATGAGCAGGTAGCCAGAGCCAGGAGATGGGAGACAACGCCGGGCTCCCTGCGGCGGTGCCAGCCAGCTTTCCCCAGGGCATCTACCTGAGCTGTGGCGGAGTGGGAAGAGGCGCTGTCTTATCAGCTTTCTGGCAGGCTGATGGGAGAGCAGCATGTAAGGACACAACCCCAGCACCAGGCTTGTCCCCATGTCGCCAACCCTTCTCCCGTACACCTGCATGGCTGGCATGCCACCAAGTGTGGAAGGCCTAAAGGTTTTCCATAAGCACCTGTCTGCCAGGCATGGATGGGCATGACACCAAAACACATCACGCTTCCTCCTCCCCACGATCCTATCTGACGGCTGGGAGCCTGTTTCACGGCTAAGGGGCACCCGCCTCAAACAGGGCGGTGAGGACTCTGAGGTGGGCAGGTGTCCAGCCAGACACGGCCACCGCCGCCCACATAGAAAACATGCATGGTGGGGAGGAAAGCACGTATGAGGTCAGGGAACTGCCAAACGCAGCCCGTAGGAGCGGTGTCATGCGGCCGTGCTGCAGGCCACCGTGACGCGACATGACTGGCACACGATAGTGGTTGAGCCTCCCGGGTCACCGGGCACCACGGACAAAACCTGCCTTGCTCATCAAACGGGATTTCTTCCCCTTAACCTCTCACAAAGACCCCCGCCGTAAGTCACAGACAACAGAAAGGGGAGTGGGTCACACAGAATTTTTTAAAGAAAGCCCTTCCTGTAACACGCTTCTTCCAAAACACAGTCCAACGCACATTCCTGGGTGGGCTGATGGGACACAGGATCAGGTGTGGGGAGCGGACAAGATGGAGGTGAGCAGGTGCCAGGATCTTTGAGAAAAGAGAAAGAAAAAGGAAAGCAGAAAGTGGAATCGGGGAAATGGAAGATTTTATTGAAAGGAAAACAAAACAAAAAAAAAGTAAAGCAAAACACAACGAGACACAATCGATCATGGGTCAGAAAACAATCACCGGGCTTTACAAATGGGAACAACAAGCTGGAAGGAGTGAATCGTCCCTTTTCTGAAAACTAGCAAGACCCTAACAGACACATGAAAAAAGAATATTCCGGAGAACGACCCAACCTCCTCCTTCCCCTGAGGCACAGCGGACCCACTCAAGTCTTCAGAGACTGAGCAGCACAACCCCAGCTCCCAGCAGGGGGAAACCCTGGCCGGGCAGGAAGACCCGAACACTCCACCGCCCCCCACCTCCAGGCAAGGTGCACAGGTATCCATGAGGCGCAAAAATAATACACCTGCAGTTGTACAACTCCATGGTGTGGGAGGAGGTGCTGCGTCAGGAAAATCCTGTCTGAAAAGGCCCTGAGAGGAAGGGAGATGCTTTTTAAAAAGCCAAAAAAATGGCATCCGTCTCACGTGTGGGTAAATGTCACAAGAGATACAGAATCCTAAACGCCACTTTCAGCTCACAAGGGCTTCCACGCCAAGGCAGGAAGAAACTGACATCTGGAGGGTGAGGGGTGTGGGCACTGGTGAACGGGGGAGGGCGTGGCAGGGCAGCCCTAAGCAGGGAGCTCTAGGTGATGCTACAATGAAAGAGAACAAAGAGGGAGGGGAAGGTGAGTTTTCCCACAAGTCTGAGTCCCACCCTGGAAAGAGAGGGTGCAGGGAACTCCAGGGGTCCACCCTTGGCACCTGGCTCAGCTCCACTGTGCAATGTGCCACACCCCTTTAAGTGACCATCCAATCAGAGCACGGGAGCCCACCGATCAGGTGGTGACCAAAAGATGTGTAGTGCTCACTGAGCTGTACTGCATGACACCCTGATTTCTGAGAGGCCACGGCGTTGACCCCACACCCGCCCCGCTCACAGCCCCAGGTGCAATGGGGTCTCCAGACCCCAGCCTTCTGCACCACCACCGGCACTCCTGGCCCCCTGCTAGGGACCAGCCTGCCTTCACAGGAACTCGAACCAGCAGCGCGGGTGGCTGTCCCGGAAGAAGAAAGAATAGGTGCTACAGAGGGGCCCCGCCGTGCGGTGGTGCAGCAGCGACCACACCGAGTCGCCCAGGAGGGCAGAGAGGGGCCGAGGCCCGCTGCGGTCACCTTCCAGCGGCTTCACGATCTGCAGCTTCTCCGGCAGGTACGAGCGGCTGCTGAAGGACATGCCGGAGAAGCCCGTGAGCTCCGAGAGGCGCGAGTGCGTGCCCAGGGACATGATGCTGTCGGTGGGCGTCAGCGACCCGCTGCGCAGCTCGCCCTTCTCCGCCAGCTCCCGGAGCTTGCGCTCCTGCTCCTCCTCGAAGAATCTCCTCTCGGACAGGTAGTTCTCTCGGCGGAGCGACAGCCGCCTGAGCGCCGTCTCCAGGTCGTGGGAGCCCGGGGTGCCCGGCGTGCCTGGCTTCTTACTGCGCTCCTCTCTGCGGGAGACAGGACACGGGCGGCAGTGAGCGGCACAGCATTCAGCAGCAGGGACAGGGGACCACAGAGGTTCATTGGAGGATGTTCAAAGTTTGGGCAAGCAGCTGCCTGTCCAGCACCGTTCTGTGGGGCTGGGGGTGGTCGGATTCTTTTATTTATTATTATTATTGTTGTTGTTATTTAACAGGGGGATGCAGATGAGGCGGCAGCCGCATGAGGGTGGAATGACAGTTTGCACCTGCAATAGACATCCCTCCCAAGCATGGCATTGCCATTGCTGGCCACCACCAGGGCCAGGGATACAATGTATGCATCTCTTTCTCTTCCGGGTTAAAGGAACTGAGGGTTCAACTGCACTAAGCCAGTCCCCAGGGCCAGGAGTTTCTCATCTGTCCTTCTGACCCGATTGGTCCAGAGGTACCAAGTTCATTAAAGTCAGATGAAGAGGGGTGCGGGCCACAACATGGACCATGTAAGGTAGGCAGAGACACCCCATCAGGGTGGCCACACCCCTCTCTGCAGGACAGGGTGACCCCCACGAGGCCCCCTCCCCCCAGCCCGCTTACCCCAGCTCGGCTGCCTCGGTTTCCAAGATGATGCTATTGGTCTTGTTGTCGAGGGTGATGCTGCCGACGTCACTGCCGTAGAAGCTGGACCGGGGGGTGCTGACGCAGCTGGACAGGAGCGAGTTGATGGCAGAGGACTGGTTGGAGCCGGGGATGTTCATGGGCGAAGGGGTCAGGGACCTCTGCTTGACCACCTGGTTGATGCTTCTCACGGTTTCGAAGACTCGCTTCTGGTGTCTGAGGGGGCAGGTGCAACAACATTCCGGGCTGAGCAAGTGCCGGGTGAGTTCAGAAGCTACTGACCAAGGGGCCAGGAGAGCACGCTGCCTAGGACACCCCACACCCCGTCCTGTGCAGGACTGCCAATGGGCGGCCACGACCCAGAGGGGCGGCTGGCAGGTGCCACTGCTTTTTCCACATCCCTAAAGTTTTCACCTACAAGCTTGGACACTGTGCAAGCCCCGGGAGCTGTGGCACTCACTGCCAAGCACACAAGTGGGGCTCCACACCCCTCTGGGCAACAAGCAGGCACTAACTGTCCACACAACCATGAACGCAAGACTTAAACTGCATCTCAAACTTCTGCTACGAGACCAGAGAAACGCCAGGTTTGCCTGCTTTCAGGACCTGCTAGCAGGGTGACCGCAGGTGATGGGGGGCGTAGCACCAGGGAAACCGTCCGGCCTTACGTGATGTCCGGAGACTCGGGCTCCTCCAGCTGCAGTTCCTTGCGCATGGTGCCCTCGATCTCGGCCGCCAGGGAGTCCTGCAAAAGGCCAGAAGACACAAGCCGCCTGAGTGGCCACACGACGGCTCTGCCTCTGAAACGGGCGTGCGAGCCAGGCAGCCATGGGATGCCTCTGTGTACCCATCACAAGGGGGGGTCCTCACCATCCCCTGGCCTCCTGCAGGGTAAGGCCCACTCCCCACCAGCCACCTGGGGCCCACACACCTTCTATCACTGAGCACTGCTTCTCTTCCCAGGCAGACACACGGGACACCTGTGACCCCGTGGGTTCGGAACGGCTCACCGGCAGGACTGCTCACTGCCCTGGTGGGCCAGGCCCCCTTGCTCTAGGGGCTTTCCTGGGAGGTGGGGGGCAGAGTCATCCTCCTGTCCCTAGCCCCTACTCCCCAAGAGGCCCTTGTACTTATTCGGTAGTTAGTAATTCTTGTCACGAAGCATTGAGCCCATGCACAAGGGCATTCTGGGATGTGTGTGGCACCATTTTAAGCTGGCTTGTTTATTTTTCGCTCTCTCAGTCACGTTCCAACTGAGTTTATCTTCAAAAGGCCAGGCATAGGAGATACAATAAGCTAGATGGTGTGCAGCACTGGCCCGGGGGCCTTACTGGTTTGGGCCTGCCAGGGTAACTTTTGCAGGTGGTGCTCAAACTTCAGTAGACGGATCTCAAGGCTAAGACTGGAGCTGTGCTAAGCATCCATAGGGCAGGACAGGCGAGAGGGAGAAGCAAGGAATGGGGCTGTCGCAGGTGACCGAGGATCACACACCCAGGACTGGGATCCCGATCCGAGCCAGTCGGAAGGATTCAACCACAGAGATCAGAGTGCTGGATGCAGACACATCACCTCCCAGTACCCCCACCCTCCCACCTCCCACCGCTGCGAGCAGCCCGGCCCAGCTCACCATGGGGAAGAGGCCCAGCGAGTGATAGCGGCGGGACGTGGTGTTGGGCACGGTCTTGTTGCGCAGGTTTTTCAGCTCCTCCTGGGCCTCGTGCAGCATCTCCATGCACTCGGCGTACTTGTCCTCCAGCTCGCGCAGCTGCAGGGGCGGCGCGGGGAGGGTAAGACGTGGGGTTAGGTCACTGAGCAGCACCCTGTCAGGGGTGGGGGTGGTGGGGGGCAGGCACGCCTTCTGGCTCAGAGAGAGGGCAGCCATTTCAACCGAGTCGCACCCTGGGGGAACGGGCTACCCTGTGAATGCCCAGGGCTGGCTTTTTATTTTTTTTCCCTTGGGGTGAACTGACAGACTCAGAAATCCCCCAAAACACTTGAATCACGTGCACACCATGGAGCCCAAACGAGCCCACAACGGGGAAGAACATGCAAGCCACCACAATGGTAGCTGATCCTGTGGCTTGCAGCTCGGCGGCGTGTGCACACGTGTGTAGCCCCCTGGGAACAGTTCTTGGGGGCAGGAGGGAAGCCTGTGTGTTCCACACACAACAGTTACAGGTGGCTGCAGGCTCAATCAAGCCAGGAAGGACACAGCTCCAAGTCTAGCGACATGTGAGTCAGTGTTGGCACGGTCAGGATGGACCCACGACAGCCCATCCCGGGAGCCCTGATGCACGACGTCTCCATTGGGGGTGCCCCGCAGAGAGGAAGGCAAGGTCCTCACCTCCGCCGTGAGCTGCCGCTGGGCATCCTTCGCGGCCCCCAGGTGCTGCACGAGCTCCTCATTCTCCACTGCACACTGCAAGAAGATGGAGAGAAAGCACTTGCTCTCCTAACGGAAGAAACGCAGGCAGGCCCGCCCAACCCGTGCAGGTCTCATCGTGCGTCTCCAGGCTCTGCGACCGCACGGGCCGTAGCTTTCCTGCCCTGCCATTCCTTCCTGGCCACTGGCCCCACAGCCGTCAGTTTCTGCTCACTGCAAAGGCTCAGTGGTGGAAACTGAACTGCTTTCATCACTTCCATGAAAACCCACCAAGGACCTGGCACTGCTGTAGGGCGTACCAGGAGCACAGAGGGAAAGCAAAAACACGAGGCCCGGGGAGCCCTAAGTGAGAGTTCCAAACGTCACAATCACTGCACCTTTTCTGACAGAATCTACTCTCTGTAGGTGATGCACAGCAGACAGTGGACCTAAGGAAGTCCCTGTGAGCCTCTAGGTCAAAGCCAAGCCATTCCTCCAAGTGTCCAGGCGATGACATGGCCCTCCAGGCCAGCCATCTCGCCGCTGACCAAGCACGGCCGGGGCAGCAGGGCAGCCTCACCGCTTTTGCCTTCTTCTGCAGATCCACAATCTGGGACAGCAGGTGTGTGATCTCCTCCTGCTGCCGGGCCGCGTCCTCTGTCTTCTTGGCCAGCTCCTCCGAGATGCTTGCGATCTGGACATTGGCATCCCCTTAGGGAGACGAGAGTCACCAGTGGGAATCAGAAAATGACACGGTCTGGCGGACACGCCAGCATCCCCAGGAGGGGACAGCTTCGTGCCCCAGCCGCTGCACTTCTGATCTAGCAACCTGCTGAGGCGCCTGGGAGAGCACCAGAGGGTGGCCCACGTGCTCAGGGCCACTGCTACCCACGTGGGAGACTCGGAGGAAGCTCCTGGCCCAGCCCTGTCCATGACAGCCATCTGCGGAATGACACAGTGGATGGAACGCTCACCTTTCTCTCTCCTTCTCTCTGTAACTTACATTCCGAGCCATGACTCATGTTACAGGACGTGAATGGGAGGGCTGTGTTTCACATACTTGCTGCAGCCAAAACAGTCCGTTGGTTCTTTTGTTGTAACTTAAGAGACAGCAGCCAGGTCCCAACATAGTAGCCTAGTGGCTAAAATCCTTCCCTTGCATGCACTGGGATTCCATGTGGGCACCGGTTCTAATCCCAGTTGCTCCATTTCCCATCCAGCTCCCTGCCTGTGGCAGTCAAAGACAGCCCAAAGCCTTGGGACCCTGTACCTGCATGGGAGACCCAGAAGAAGTTCCTGGCTCCTGGCCCCTGCCTTTGCATTGGCTCAGCTCTGGCCATTGCAGCCACTTAGGGAGTGAACCAGCAGACAGAAAATTTTTCTCTCTGTATCTCCTTCTCTCTGTATATCTGCCTTTCCAACAAAAACTATAAATAAATCTTAAAAAGAGAGAGAGAGAGCAGCCAGGGAGGACTTAAATTACAAAGCCCAGATCTTGCCTCCAACTTTTACAAATCAAATTATGAGCAAGCACTTTTTTCCCCTACCTCTTCCACATGTTAAGTAAATCCAGTATTTCAGCAGAAAACCCAAATTAAAATTAAAGATCTATCTCAGCAACAAATTAAGATCCTGTATAGCCGACACCCGGGCCCTGATTCCTAAGCAGATGGGGGGGGGGCGCCACACCGGGCCAGGGGAGGGGGCTTCACGTTTCAAGAAATGTGTGGCTGGGCTGTGGGCTGGCAAGGAGAGTGCCTTTTTGCAAAGGTGACCTTGGGCCACAGCAGTGGCAGGAGCCGGGGAGCAGGGAGCGTGGAGTAGGGAGCAGGGAGGTGGGGCCCAGCACATACTCAGCTCCTTCACGCAGTCATTGACCAACTGCTGTTCCTTCTCTTCATAGGTGATGGTCTCTGTCTTCAGCTGGCAGGCCTGTGGACACAACCCTAGGTCAGAGCGCTGGCCCTCCCACCTGGACAGGTGTGGCAGGCACGGGCTGGCTGAAGCATCAGGCCCCGGTTCTCCTGGGAGACCGCCCTTCAGCATCTGCCCACCTGTCCACCGTCACACCTTCATACACACCATGTCCATCTGAAGGCTCCAGCTGGCTCTGTTCCAGAGCAGGGATCTGATTACTGTGGAGCCGTACCGCGCGGTGGTGCCACGAGAGGGCGCCAGAGGGCCTGCTCCAAAAGCACTGGGTTCACCTGCTACTTTGAGACTTCTGCATGCCTAAGATTTGGTGGGTCGCCTCAAAACAGCGGCACCTGCACCTGGCATGTGGCAGGCCCTGGACTGGCACCTGCACCTGGCATGTGGCAGACCCTGGACCGGGAGGCGTGAGGGTGGAGTGACAAACCGCCGTTTTCAGCTTTAGTAAGAACAAGGTCTGATAAGGAAGCATTGGAGTTCAGAGACCCAGGGGCTCCCTTGGGACCTCAGAGAGCTTCCTGTGGCCCAGCAGTAGAAGCAGAGGGTCAGGAAGGTCCCGAGGAAACACACAGTGTTTCTGAGCTCTCAAACTCCAGTCCCCAAAACAGACTATACTCCAGCAAACAGAGGCCGGATAAGCAGCAGGGATCTGTGGCTGGGACCGAGATTCCCTCAGCCACCTTTGGCTGATGCTCTCAACAAGGGGTCAAACTGCCAGGGCCTCGGGGAGATGCAGGGAGGGGGCAGTCCCGGACCCAGCATGGGCTGCAGCCCTGGCTGTGCCCCCAGCTGGCAGGGGACCCCCTCTCCTGCTCCAGCATACTCCCCAGTTGCTCTGGGCTTCCATCTCTCATCAGTACATGAGCAGCAAGAATCAGCCATGCAGGAGGCCACTTGCTGAATCTGTACAGGAGGCTCCGCCCAGTGGGTGATAAGTTCAAGGTGACAGGGTATCTGGTCTACTGGAGAGACCCTGGGCCCAGCTAGCCTCAGGCCCAGCCTGACATTGAGGGCCCGATCAAAGAGCTATCCCACCCTCCGGCTACAGGGCATCCAGTCACCACTGGCAAAGACAAACTCGGCTCAGAGGGCAGTGGGGGCAGGGAGGCCTGTTGGGCTGAGCAAGCCCCTGGCCTTGACATTCACCAACATATGACCTTGGGACCGGAAACCGCCCAGCAGGCCAGGGCTGGGTTTCTTTATTGTTCATGAGAATCCAAACAATCCACTTTAGCCTTGTGAAAGTGTTTAAAAAAAGAAAGGGGGAAAAAACAAACAAAGAGTAGGCGAAGTGCCTTGCCAAGAGGAACTACTGAAAAGTACAACCCCAACCTTCACAACCATCCCCAAGTGCTTCCGGGTCCCACCCTGGGGGCAAACCAGACTGGCAGAAACAGAAGGTGCCTCCGGGTCACTTCCCTGGGGGAGCTCCCCAGCCTGGCTTTGGCCCTGGCTGTGCACGAGGTGGGTTTGTGGCTCTGCCCAGGGTTGGGGAGGGGCCAGGATGCACATATCCTTTGCGAACCGCATGGGGCCTGAGCCATGGGCCCAGCAGTGATGGGAGTGGTGAGGGCCGGGGCTGCGCGTCACCTCGGATCGCAGGACCACATTCTCCTCTTCCAGGTCCTTGAGCTTCTTCTGCAGGGAGTCCAGGTGGAAGTAATTTTGCACAGAGGAGGAGGACTCATTCCTCTTGAGCCTGGGGAAGGGATAGCAAGCTCATCGCACGCCTTGGGGTCCCCTGGCCGGCCTCGGGGAGGCACAGTCGGGCAGCTGCCGGGCAGCAGGGACGGCAGGGACCCAGAAAGGCTGCGTCCCACCCTCGGGAAACCACGGCAGCCACAACCCCCAACACAAGGGCCGAATCGGCTCCATCTTTAGGCCACATGTCTCAGGGAAGGCTGCGGGGTTCCCTAACACGTGCAGTGTGCCTCCCCGTGGCAAGGCCACCGCCTGCACCTCTCATATGGGAAAGCCTACGGCCTGGTCTGCAGGAGGCCATCAGCACACCCCGCCTAGAGGGCTCCCGGCACCCTTCCCCTCCAGGGACTTACGGCGTGGAGCACACCGACTCGGGCTCGCTCTCCTCCGCGGCGCTCGTGTAGAATTGTAGCAGCTCATCCTTCATGCACAGCTCGTGCCGGAGCTGGGACACCTGCAAAAGCGAGCCCATGGCCTGCTTCGTGCAAGGCCGGCGACAAGCTCCTCGTGCTGGGACAATGGACAGCTGGTGAGGGCTAGGTACAGAGCTTCGAGGCTCTAAGGGGTCATGGCCGAGCTTGCAGCTCTGGGCTCAGGCCAGCGCTGTTCCTGGGAAGGGGGGAGAGGCGGGGGTGGAGAAGGCACAGGCTTCTGCTCCCCAATCCCCAGCCCCAGAGCCCACGCACACTCCATCCCTCACCTCTTCCCTGATGTGTTCCACCTGCTCCTCCAGCAGCTCGTTCCTCTCCGTCAGCGTCTTGTTCTTCTTCAACAATGACTGGCCGATGCGAGCGGCCAATTCTAGATCCCGCTCTTTCTAAGAAAGGGCAGAGGGAGACCGGGCAGTCAGCAGTAGCCTGGCACGTCCCCAGCGGATGTCAGCGTCCAATGTGGACCTCAAGGGTATCGGGCAGCGACACGGCAGTGTCCAAAAAAAGTGAAACCTGCCAGCAGACAATGCTTTGCAGAGATGTTCAGTATTTGTGCAACATTCTATGCTGCACGTGCCAGGGCGAATGCCCAAAGTAATGTTAAAATGGTCTTGCCTTAGAGCCAAGAGCTGTCACAAAGAGCTGACATTGGTGGGGAAGGGCAGGGAGTTACTAAGTTCTTTACCTTTGCTTGCTAGGAAGCAAACAAGTTTAATGTTACTACAAAAAAACCAAGTCACTTTTTATTTCTACTTCGTTTTCAGAGGGGAATACTTAGGCTTTAAAAAAAAAAAATTACTGGGCCCGGCGCGGTGGCGCAAGTGGTTAAAGGTCCTCGCCTTGCACGCCCGGGATCCCATATGGGCGCCGGTTCTAATCCCGGTAGCCCTGCTTCCCTTCCAGCTCCCTGCCTGTGGCCTGGGAAAGCAGTCGAGGACGGCCCAAGGCTTTGGGAACCTGCACCCGCGTGGGAGACCCGGAAGAGGCTCCTGGCTTTGGATCGGCATAGTATCGACCCGTTGCGCTCACTTGGGGAGTGAATCATCGGACGGAAGATCTTCCTCTCTGTCTCTCCTCTCTGTATATCTGCCTTTCCAATAAAAAAAAAATAATAAAAATAAATCTTTAAAAAAAAAAATTACTGAGTTTCAGGCCCAGTGCGGTAGCCTAGTGGATAGAGTCCTCGCCTTGCATGCACCAGGATCCCAGCCTCTTCTTTTTTTTTTTCAAAGATTTATTTTATTTTTATTGGAAAGGCGGATATACAGAGAGGAGAGACAGAGAGGAAGATATTCCATCCGATGATTCACTCTCCAGGCAGCCGCAACGGCTGGAGCTGAGCCAATCCAAAGCCAGGAGCCTCTTCCGGGTCTCCCATGTGGGTGCAGGGTCCCATCCAGCTCCCTGCTTGTGGCCTGGGAAAGCAGTTGAAGACGGCCCAAAGCCTTGGGGCCCTGCACCCGTGTGAGGGACCCAGAAGAAACGCCTGGCTCCTGGCTTTGGACTAGCTCAGTTCCAGCCGTTGCGGGCTACCTGGGGAGTGAACTAGCGAATAGGAAATCTTTCTCTGTATCTCTTTCTCTGTAAATCTAACTTTCCAATTAAAAAAAAATCTTAACAAAGCACTTCCGATGTGCAGTTTAGGGCAGATAGAGGGCTGGGAAGGGGGTCTTGGGTCTCTCTCTCCCCTGACCCTGGCATTTCACCTCCCTGGTCCCAAGCTTTGGCGAGGCCTGGCCACTCTGCAGTGGGGGGACGTGCTGGGCACCAGGTCACCCTACCTCCAGTGCTATCATGCTTGTCACCGCAACTGACATTTGCTCTCTGTTAAGCACGACAGTGTGGGACTGAAAATGCCAACACGTGCGTCACTTCATAGGGAACTCGCTGTGCTCACGGTTACCCGTGTAATGGCAGTGGGTCACACCGAGGTGAGCTTCTTACAGCAGGTGTTGTTCACACTGTGACGAGTGACCCCGCGCTCGGAGTTGGGGCTCTGTTGGACAGAAGGGCAGGACAGCTGAGCTGGCCTTGGAAGAATCTAGTGTTAGCCATTCATCGAGTTGCAGGATGACCCAGTGTCCATGGCGTTTACTTCTAACTTCTTGCACAAGTGACCCCTGCTCTTCCAACACGACAACAGCACACACTGCTAATTACAGGAAGGTCACCAACTCAGGAGCACAGCAGTGAGGTCACAGACAACTGGAGAGGGGACGGGATTCTGGACTGAACTAGCTCCCTCTCTTCCCTTCCGTTGGGTTGTTTCTAACCCAGTCCACGGCATATGTGGGCAGGGCCTTTCCAAGGGGCCAGGGTGTGGTTCAATGCCAGACCAAATAAGACCCCCATTTCCAGGCGTCTAGTCACGCTGGCCACTGCCTACGGAGAGGGGTCCTTGACTCACAGAACCTTGTCATGTCCCAGGCTCAACAGTGGTGTTTATTTAGTAGCTAAGGGGAAAAGATCCCAACAATTGTATGAGGGAACTTAGAGAATTCTCATCTCAGGGCCAGACCCCCAAACTCTGCATGTGGACCAACTGGTTCCGGCTGGCTCGCATGCAGCTGGGGCTGCAGTGCCAACAGCCACTTCTCTGCCCAGGTCTGGTCTCCATAAACCTGACTCAAGTCAATCCGATTGCTCTGCCAGAGCAGGTCCTCACGCTGAACCTGCTTGGTGCCCATCGGCTCACTGCCTGACTGCCCGCCCTGCACTGTCCCCCCACATGTACGCTGCAGGGTACAGCCACCATCACGCATGCCCTGGCCATGCTGTTTGCGCATCTCACTGTAAACCAATCAAGCAAAAAGCTACAAGCCCCTCCCAGAGCACCTGAGAGCTGTACAAGGCTTCCCAGGGCACAGAGAGTGAATGGAGAAGAGGCAGGGTGGGGGTGAAGTGAGGGTTGGGATAGAACCTCAGTCATGAAGCCCATCCCCCACTGATACCTCAAACCGCAGCCCTGCGTTTGGCCTGGCTCCCCTGCAGGGTCTCGCTCTTTCTGCACAGGATGTTGCATTCTTTTCCTTCTTTATTAGTAACATCTAGTATGTTCTAGTATGTTCTCACCTCCAGGAGTAGTGTGCAGGACCTTGCCAGATGCACCCAGTACAGTGCAAGTGGATCCAGCCATGCCGCTGGCGTCCCCATTTCACCTTCTCTTCCTCTGAGTCGGCAGCTTCCCAGCTCCCTCCTTAACCCCCAGCTCTGAATAGGACGGAGGACCTCCTGACACCTGCCCGGCCATACTCACTGTCCCCATTTCTGCAACATCCAAGACATGGGACCACGCCCTGTGTCCACAGATGGGCGAGGGGATTAAGAATGTGTGGGAATATTACTCAGTGCTTCAAATGAATGGAATCCTAGTCATTATAAAGAACACTCGTGCTGGGCGGGGTCATAATAAAAGTCTTGATGAAGTGAAAATTTTAAACCATTGATTGTAGCAGCATTCGACTTTCTCATTTTACCGAGGCAACAGTTTGGCTGGGTTCTTCCTTGAGAAGTACAGGATGACAGAAGCTAGCCAACAGGAAATGGAAGTTCAAAAGCCAACACAACAAGTAGGAAATGTCCACTGGACTAAGTGACAACGAGAATAACAGACTCTTGATCAATTCCTTCCGGCCCCTGGGTACAAGCTGCTGAAATGAGGCAAGGAGGGGCTCACTGTAACTATATATTCCCTCTTTTTGGTGATGCTTTGCTTAAAATGACTGTAGCTTTAGCCTTGCTTCCTTTTTTTTTTTTTAAACCAATGAACTTGCACTGTGACACCCACCAGCGACAGGAACAGCCAGCCTCGTGCCCTCAGCAGGTGAGTCATCCCATTCACTGATTTCAGGATAAACAGCATGACTAAGGAGCAGGGAAGCCTCCCCATTCCTGAGGAGGAGCTGAGCCTGGCTCAGAGGGGCATCCTGGCCAGTGGCCAGCCAAGGCATGCCACAGAAACCTTCTTCTTTAAAACCAGTAGCGTGCTCACCACATGGGCCAAGCGACTCCCTCCCTACCTGTCCCGTGGCAGGTGTACAAACCAGCACCATTGACAGAGGAGGCAGAGCTGGAGTACAGAAAGGTATGGGCCTGGTGCAACCATCTCGAGACTGGGATGGTTAGGCGGTCACCGCAAACCCGCCCAGTTCCACGGAAAGGCAGGGAACTCTGATTCTTATCAGGGCAAGGAACATAGTGGCACTTGCTTCATGCAAAACCCTGAGATACAGACACACCCACACAATAACCTTCTGGAAGATAAGGCCATGCAAAGAACCAGAGAGACTGCCCAGGGCCCGGCGCCATGGCTTAGTGGATAAATCCTTGCCTTGCATGTGCTGGGATCCCATATGGGCACCAGTTCATAACCTGACTGCTCCACTTCCATCCAGCTCCCTGCTTGTGGCCTGGAAAAGCAGCAGAGGATGGCCCAAAGCCTTGGGACCCTGCACCCATGTGGAGACCCTAAAGAAGCTGCTGGCTCCTGGCTTGGGACCAGCTTAGTTCTAGCCATTGCAGTCCCTTGGGGAGTGAACCAGGGGACAGAACATTTTTCTGTCTCTTCTGCCTTTTCAATAAAAATATATAAGTATTTAAAAAAGAGAGACTGCCCATCCAAGCTCCCCAGTTTGTTCTTTAAGATTGAGGCCACGCTCCTTCCATGGCTGTGGTCACACAGTGGGGGCAGGCAAGGCAGGAATAGATTCCTGACACGGGCATCAGTATGAAGGGCTCAAACTGTCAGCTCCTTTCCAAGTGGTCCTCAAGCGTCCCTGCTGAAAAGGGCCATGACCTGGGAGGAAATGGGCCAGTGCAGCGAGCTGGGACATGGTCACGGCCAAGGACGGCAAGCCAAGGACTATGACAGGCACGCCTCCTCCTGGGGAGCGCACCCTGCAGGGGAGAGCCTGTGTTTTGAGCTCCAGCTCTGCTCAGGACTGCATCCCTCAGGAGTGTGGGTGTCCGGGAGATGCTGAGGGGATCACCGGAGCTGAGCGAAGTGCAGCTGAGGTTCCGGGACCACAAGGGATGGCCTTGGCATTAACTAAAGATAGGGCTGGAGGACCTGGCTCACTAAAGACGATGACCCGCAACCCTCGACAGTGGTCTCCCACACGGCTTTCCCTCCTCTCTTCCTGGGACCATGCAAAGGAACAGCTGTGATCTGAGTTCATTCTCAGATTCGAGAGCAGACCCAATGGCCTACACGTTAGCACCTGTCTGTGAGAGCTGATTCGGAGTTGGGACCGGTGTTGGAGGATGGGTGTTTACTCAACGAATCTTTTCTAAGACCCTGGCCTGGCTGGTCCTATTCTAGGAGCACCAAAACATCAACGGGAAAAAATCGGAATGGCACAACACATTCGGCCTACTGAGGCACTACTGTATTTTGTATCATTAATATATGTGTCTAGTATCATTTATATTGAAAAAAAAAATCTCAAAAAGCTGGATAAAATTACCGCTGCAAAGGCCTCCTCAACTCCTGGTTCGAAAAGCAGTTACGAACGTGAGACCCCGCGAGGCCCCACTCTCCGAGTCTCCTCGCTGACGCCGACAGCCACGTGTGCCTCCACCAGCAACTCCTTCCCCCTTCCCGCCACGTGCTTACCTCCTCCAGAAGCCGGGTGACAGCGTCGATGTCATTGTATGTCTTAGTCATCTGGCCAACTCTTTCAGCGCATAAAACTGCAAGACACGGAAGGGACAGTGAGACCCCAGGGTCGTACCCTCGAGCACCCTAAAGTTGTGTGTCTGTGAGGACAAGGGGCCACGGGTTTTCCTGGGTTCAATTCACGCTGTAGTCAACATTCTTGGCTTTTGTTTCCCATTTCCAGGTATGAGATTGAGGTTGGAGGGGGTGAGTGTTATCTCCAGGAAGTCTCACATAGGCAGGGGAGGAAGGGCGTGCAGGCACACGCATGTGCATCTGTAAAGGGGAAGTAGGGCCAGGCAGTGAGTGGAAAGGGCTCTGGCCTCCTCTAAACCCAGCATGGGTGCATGCATTCTCAGGTGGCAGCACAGTCCCTGTATGGAAATTACCAGAAGGGTGCGTAGGGTCTGGCCCCTGGTAGCCACATGAGCCCCACCTGCGTGGACAGAGGCAGTTCCTTCTGGAAACACCAACAGGATGGCACGGTGAGTGGCACAGCCCCCTCTGCCTGTCGCATCATGACACTGAGGCTAAGGAACAATTCCAGCAGCTTGAAAAGCAGGGTGATCTATTTTTAAAAATATAAACCAAAATTCCTGCATGCCTCCCTCCCCCAGCTCGTGGCACTACTGTATCACAGATACAATTTACTATCATGAGAGGGGGCAGTACAAAACCACTTCACCCCTGTTGTCCTTTTTGTTGTCTTCCATTGGAAAAATAAAAGAAAGATTGTAACATAAAAGAAGGTTCTAGTCGATTATATATAATCTTGGGGTTGTCTTACTTTAAACCGATAGCAAAGACTAGACTTGCAGGTCAACAAGGCGGTGTTCGCATTATTCTGGGTGGGAGGGAGGAGTGAATGCTGACTTCGGGTCGAAGTGGTCAAAGTGCATCTGTCCTTTGGAACCTGTCGCTCTAGGGTGGAACAGCAACTTCAGCGATGCTTGGTGAGGGAGACTTAGCCTCCACTGGCGGGGAGAGGTAACACTTTGGCAATGACTCACACACTCAGTTAATAGCCCAGGGGAGGCAGCTTGGCAATGCCATGCTGTACAGAGTCCAAGGCCAGGCTAGCCAGTGGCAGCTGGAATTCAATAGGTCTCTAAATATTTCATTAAATGCAAGCAGACATCACCCTAGTCGGTGAGCTCAGAGAAATCTGACCTGCTGGAATGATTTCCTAGCTGAAGGAAGGGGAAAGGACATGAAATCTGGGTCTAAATCAGAAACCTTAGGCTCAAGGAGCCTCAGAGCTGGGAGTTTGGGCTCCCTTCCCTAACCGCCTGGGGCTGCTATCCATCCAGGCCTTTCACCCAGAGACTCTCTTTTCCCCTGAAGGCAATAGTGTATTCTCTTGGGGCATTATCCTCCCCTGCTTTCCCTCCCACCCCGCTTCCCTCCCACCTCCACCCTGCCCAGAGCAGTCAGGGAGGGAGTGGCACTGGGGCACTGGGATCGATAAGCCTGGAATTAAGTATCTGATTTGATGACATGTGGACTCCCGGCCTGAGCTGGCTCATGGGTTGGAGGTCAGATTTCCACGCCATCAGCAGGCATGCACACTCCCCTTGAGGAGACCACATCCTGCCAGGGAGTAAGAGTTGGAATTGCCACTTCTCCATTTCTATGCCAGTCCGAGACAACGATCGCCTCTCCAGCTGAGTTTCTGAAGGATGTCATTCTGAGGCTGTCTCATTCGTCCTGTAAGGCTAACACTATGTGGTCCTAAGACTGAGGCTGTCTCATTCGTCCTGTAAGGCTAACACTATGTGGTCCTATAATGCAGGAATCCCACAGGCCCTGAAGCAGGTGCCTGCCTAAGTCACATCACATCACAAAAGGGATGCCGACACCAAGATGAGCCGCAGCCTCACGCTGATTTCCTGAGTGTTAACTGCACTTGCATGTGAGTGTGTGTGTGTGTGTGTGTGTGTGTGTGTGTGTGTGTGTGTGTGTGTGTGTGACTACACAGTTTTAAACCTCTGTGCAGGTTTGTGGATCCACAACCACAAAGATCCCTTCATGCTGGCCTTCGGTAGAGCAAATTTTTAAAATCTTGATAATTATTTTTAACAGCTGAACTCAATACAGTGCCCACGTGGGCCAACACTCTCTTTGGCACTGCTTTCTTGGGAGCAGGCAGTCACCGCCCGCACAGGGCGGGGAGGCCAGGTAGGTGTGCCTTGTCACATGTCCCCGACACGGCACCCCTGCAGCTGGGGGTCTAGCCATACAATGTCAGAGGCATCAGTGAATAAAAACATGACAAATTACCCCCCAGCCATGCAAGTCTGATCATTCCAGTTGTGTTTCTATAGATACACACAATCCCAGTGAGAGGAGGGAACGGGGAAGAAAAATGCATAAATTGATAATGCATAAGAAACGATAAGGCTAGCATCACACATACTAACATTTGGATAAGATTACAAGTTTTCATTTTCTTGTGTGTGTGTGTTTAGGGATCTTTTTAGTAACTGTTCACTGATGGCAAAAAAAAAAAAAAAAAAAAGTACTTCAACATTTTCCAGAGAGTACATAGTTAACGACAACTGCTAGCCATGGACACTGTGCCTTCATCAGCTTAGGGTGACCAGATGACCCGGTTCCAGCTGACCTTCACTGTGCCCGCTGACCTTGACCAGAAACCAGTCATAGTCCTTAGTAAGGCAACCTCATGTGACCCTTTGAGCATCTCTAAGGGGTAGGCACGGACATTACCACACCTACAAACTGGAAGCCAAGGCTCGGAGAGCTTCAGAAACTTCCCAGTGCCCCTAGGCTAACAAGCAGCCAAACTTCAGATCAGAACCCCCTTCCTCCTGCCAAGCAGAGCCAGCGGCTGATCTTTATGGCACCCCTACTATGCCAAAGGACTTACTCTGCTTCCTCAATTAAGCTCCACCATCACCCCACAAGGAAAGCACAGAGAGCAAGAAACGGAGCCACCGTGATGTGAACAATCCGACATTCAGGACCCAGCCAAGGTCACGGAGCAGGAAGAGAGGCTGCACTGCAGAGCCTGGGGGATAGGGGGTGGCGGGGAGGGGAGCAGCCTGGCTCCTGTACCCACAGACAGCAAGGGCAAGGCAGGGCCAGCACAGCTCAACAAGGTTAAGGACATGGGCAAACAGGGTGAGACGCACGTGCAGGAGACAGAGGGGAAAGAAAGAATTTCTGATCTCTGTGTTTTCCTAGGAGACTCTCCCAAGGCCCCTGGAAGGCCAAGTTTCCTGGTCCTTGCAAAGAGGGGTGGGGGGCAGGGCGAGGGTAAGGAGGGTAGGAAAATTACAAGCCTGGCCTTGACAGGTCTGGGCACCGGCTATACTTGGCAGGCTCAGGGTTTTCAGGCCTGCACCAACGGTGCTACTGTCACCAGGCTTCTCTCGGCGGGACAACAGCCAAGGTTGAGTTCTGTTTCTCACCCAGGGAGTGTGCCCATGTACATTCAGGCCCCCTCAAAAAATGTGCCCTTGCCCCCTGCCCCAGAAATCAAGAAGCAGTCATACATTCATATAATAATTTAGCATTCCAAAACAATGGAGTCTTGCATTAAGGCTTATGCCTGAACTCCACTTTTGAAATGCTCTTGTAAACTTAACATTTTCTTCTTGGTCTGCTCCTGCCCACAAGGGCAAGAGGCATGGGTTGAGAACTTGACAGCCATAGCTAAAAAGCTCCCCATGAAATGAGCGTTCCCCTCCATGCCAAGTTTCCAGGCCATGACAAAATACACATCCTGAGAAGCTCTGTGCACTTGTTTGCAATCTAATACATCCCTGCTCTGCCTAAAAACCTTCACCAAGGCAGCCACTGCCTTCCAAGAAGAGGCCTCAACCTATGGGACACGCAGGGAATCAGCCTCACCTGGTCCTACCCCCCCCCCCCACCCCCACAGTGCCTCCTCACCTACCGCCCAGGCGCATCCAGAGCATCTGCAGCCAGCGATGCCCTTGCAGGTGTCTGGCCTGGCGCACACACACCCGCGTCTTCCTTCTGCAGGGGCTGTCTTCCTCCCACGTCTCCATCCGGGAATTCCTTGCCCCTCCCGTGGCCCGCCAAGATGCTCCAGCTGGCGCCCGATTGGAGCCTCAGCCTTTCTGTCCGCTTTTTGTGAAAGCTGCAGTTTTTCCAGTCTGCTGCAGACATCAAGACCAGGCTGATTGGGCAAAGCGCTTTTGACAAGGGGGCCACCTTTATAAATGCCTGCTGCGACTCAGCTCACAGCGGCGGCTCTTGCTGATCTCGGCCAGACGCAGAGGGGGATGCTGAGTTAGACCCATCTGTACCCCCAACCCCTCACTGCTTTATCACGGGGAAATATGGGTTCCCATGAACTGTGCCAGGTCACCAAAGACAGATTCTTGCAGTCTCCTTGGGAGTTGCCAGCAGGAAACGAATGCAAATGACCACACAGACACAAACCTATGTGCAACTGGTGAACAAAACGTGACCTCATGTCTGTGATGAAGCATTACTAGGTCAAGCAAAAGAACACAGTTCCAACACATGTCATGGCATGGATGAAGCTTGAAATGCTACAATAAGTCAAAACCACCATCTACAACATAAATCTATTCCCATTGGGTACCAAGAAGCAAACCACAGGGATTGGAAGCAGGCGAGTGATTTTCTAGAACTGAGGGTGGGAGTGTGAGATTTTCTAGAACCGAAGGTGGGAGTGCGAGTTGGCTATAAAAAGCTCGAGGGACAATTCCAGGAGGATGCAAAGCCCTCGAACTGGATGATGGAGATTGTCACCTGACTCAGTAAATATACTCAAAACCACTGGCCTGTCCAGTTAAACAGAATGAATTTTTGTTTCTAACATTATTCTTGGAAGGCAGAGTTATAAAGAGAGAGGGGAGGAGAGAGACAGACTCAGAGAGAATATGTCTCCACTGGTTCACTACTCGGATGGCTGCAACAGCCAGAGCAGGACCAGGTCAAATCCAGGAGCCTGAAACTCCACCACAGTCTCCCGTACAGGTGCCAAGGGCCCAGAGACTTGGGTCAGCTTCTGCTGTTT